TCATGCGCGTTAACAAACTGAAACAGTGTTTTTTTGTATTATTGTTTCATCGTAATTTATTCATTGTACTTTCTCGCATTATTATTGTACCTTCATCTTCAGTTAAAGCATCGGGACGATGCCTTTTTTTCAGAGGGGGGCAATGCCACGTTCCATTTCCCAAGTTTTCGTTATCGTCCCAAAACACCACACGATTCTCAGCGCAAACCACGCCTGCAGTTTTCCAGAAGGTTCCGGACTGTAGTAGATCATTTCGATAGGATCACGCCCACTGTGCGAACGGTACAGATTGTTCTGGAACCTACGCCACCGCCAGCGATAACGCTAGAACATTCGATGGCAAGAGTATAAATGCCGACGCGCTTCGCCGCTTGCCAGTAGTTGTTGATCGAAGGCCGACGCTGCGTTCGCCGCTATCAGTCCGAGACTACTATCTGTGCAAGACTGCTGCTGTAATTAGACTTTCCCTTTACCGGGCACAGGTTCGCCCAAATAAACAGTTAAATCCCAACACGAAGTTTCCTGTCTTAAGCCACGTCACGACCCCGTGACAATATAAAGGGAAATAGGTTTATACCTAGGGGCTCGTTTTTCCGTGTTTTGACACAATATTAATGAGATCTAACAAACAGTAATGCCAAGGAATGTATAGGGGAAGTTACTCGAACAAATGTAATGTAAATAAGAAGAAAGGTGGGTGAAAAAATAAGCAGCTGTGAGCAGGAATCGAACCTACGACCTTCGAATGACGCGTTTGATGCTCTAAACACTGAGCTATCACAGCGACCTTTCCCAACCCACTTTTTTGGGTTTATATGCGAATTTAAACGTGGGAGTGTTAGTCAGCGCCACCTGTAACCAAGCGGCCAGTGTGGAACACCATTTTATAAGCCTGTGTGGCGAGAATATATATATGGATGCAGCGAAAATATATATATATTCTCGCTGCATCCATGCGGCCACGCGAACGACGACTCCACACATTCCACCGCGTAACGCATGCCGTCACTGCCAGGTCGTGTGCGTAACACTCTTGCTGGTGTGCCCTTGCATCGCGAAACTCGCGCGCAGCAGTCACGACGAGACTCGTGAGGCCGAAACACACCGACGCGCGTGCAGTACGTGTCAGAACGATTACACTGCATGACTCAACTCGGGCAAAGAGCGCGAGTTCGCGAAAGGGGAAAAAAATAATAAACCCCGCAGTGGGTTACGTCAAAACAGATGTTTGCGGGCCGCGGCGGCATATGCTGGCTTTCGCATGTTATTTTCCTGGAATTCTAGAACCGTTCGTGGAAAGCGAGTGCTAGCGGCTTTTCGCGCGAGTGTTATCCTAAGCTTGCTTAATTGGCGTAGGTATAATTAGATGTAAGTGCGCAAACAAACAAAAACGTGGCTGATCCCTCTTTCTAGGAATCGGTATAACACGAAAGTAAAACGTGTCTTCACACGTCGAGATAGTTGAGCGTTTATTGTGCATTGTTTTGTCACAAAAGCGATGGAATGAATGCTATAGCAACAAACTGCAAAATCACGCGAAGAACGACAAGCAGGTCGAAACTTGCAGCGCGCACCTCAAGCAGAAAACGCACACGAAATGAGCGCGCGCAGGACGTGCGCGGACTAATAACTCTCACAGCTCGACACTGAAAGCGCGCTGTTCTGACAGGAATAAAAATGCACGAAACACACAAGTATGCACAGGGCACGCGCGAACAACTGTGACAATTCTTATTCGTGAGTGTGTGAGCAGCGCGCTCCTTTTGTAGCCGCGGCAGCGAGCGAAGTGACGTTCGTGCTCTCCTGAAATACCGGCGCAGGGGAGACCACACTCTGTGGAGGCGGCACTCAAACGCTAGAGTTGACTACCCTTAGAACGCGCCCAACGCAAGACCCAACGTTACTTGAACCAGGTTCTAGTAACGTTGGCAAGACCTTCGAGCCACATCTCGCTGTGCTAATGACGAAAGCGCGCTGAAGTTGTAGAGCTCCGAGGACCACCGAAGGGTACATGGTGTATATAAATAGCTTGCCGTTAGCAATTCTGACAGTGTACGCTCCGTGTCCTAGTGGTCTCCACAGGTCGAGGAGCGCTTGTTCTCTCTCTTTTCGTGATATTCTACCGTATTACCGGGATCAACGAATAATATACACACCCCCAGCCCCATCCCTAAACATAGCGCAGGCCGCACATTGGCGACGCCTACAAGATCGGACTGCTCCATACCCCGTATTACTAAACGCCCGTTACCCAGACCAATTCCCCTCTTCGTGCAAACTTTGCGGCAAACCAGGAGACTTCGTCCACATACTCCTCACGTGTCCCTCCTTCCTACAACACCTCTCTCTGGCTGTGGTAGTGGCATACTGGGAAACCATCATGACCAGCAGATCTGCGTTTGATCAGCGCCGGATCATCTCGTGCGCCATGAAGAAGACCGCACTTCAAGGACTTTCTTTTGCCTTGTAAGGGTGCCTTCTCACCGTGAGGGAGCGCCCTCGTGCCATGAGGGGGCTCAGCCCCCGCGCTCTAAAGTGGCAATGAATGTTTCTACCACCACCACCTAGTGGTTACCGCCGTGCGCTCCAGATTGAGAGATCGCTGGTTCGACGCCCCACGAGGGCCGTTCCTTCTCGTCTCATTCTTTGCAATTTGTTTGTATAAATTTTACAGCGTCATATTCGCGACGGAAATACGTCAGCTGAGCTGTGGTAGGCCCCGGCATAAAGCGTGCACTTTCGTGTCAATAAAAACAACAACAAAAAGCTCCTTCACGCATCAATTGAATGTAGGCGGCGGGGGAGAGGGGAAAATATGACTGACCTCTCCGTCAGCCTTCGCAGACGTTGTTGGAAAAAAGATCGTAGACGAACAGGACGACGGGAGTGCTGGCCATCAAATCACGCGCTACAGCAGCAACCCACAAAGTCGGTCTGAGGTTTATTGCAAATAAAGCCCTTCTACGTAGCGGGAGGCTCGATTTCCTACATGTGGTGCCGAAACCCGGAAACGAACCAGGGACCTTTAAATTGTTTGATTGCTCTACAAGGTCGATGGATTGATTGTTATAGCAAAAGCTTGTAATGTCACGCGAAGAACCACAAGCCACTCGAAACTTGCAGCACGTTTCTCAAACAGAAAGGACGCACGAGAAGAACATATGGAGTATGAGAGCGAACTAATAACTGTAAAACAGCTCGACACTACTCAAATACAAAGACGCACGGAGCGCTGTCAGAATTGTTACTTGCGCGTGAGCAACGCGTTCTTTCGCAAGCTCGGCCTCTGTAGTGAGCAAATGGACTTCCGTGCTCTCTCTAACGCACTGCGCCGATGTGGGCGCACGAGGCGCGATGTGGGCGCCCTCTTGAGGCGCGCGCGCATTCAACGCGTGGGGCGCCGACACCCTCCGGACCCAACGCGCGATCTCGCCAATAACAACAATAGCACGCTCAGGTCACCGATCTCTCAGTAGCGCGAGCGGTAAATAAGGCTTAGATATAACTAGCCTTTAGCAAGCATGAACGCTATGCGGTCGGGTATGGTAGTGCTGCGTGTCGTCTGCCGGCTACAGAGCCTTTTCTTCTAGTCCTTGCTTTGCTCTCTCTTAGTATGTATATATTGTACAACGTCATAAACTTGGCGGAAAATACGTCAGCGCAGTCGCGGTGAACCCCGGAATAGAACACTTTCGTGTTTAAAAAAGTTAAACCATCTCCCCAAAGAAAGCTATGAAGGTACGCGACGAAGCATTGGGGGTCCACGCCAACTTTCCGTTTACACGTTCAGTCGGCGTTTCCGATAGCGTGCGGTTTGAATTAGTTTGTTTGTGTGCGTCGCTTGGCTTCAACGCCGGCGTTCCGTGTCTCGCGGTTTGCAGCTCGACGCTTGGGTTACGCTTTCCTTTCCCGGAGGCCGGTATCACCTTGCCTGCGCAGGCGTTTGCGTTCGGCATCGTGAGCCCCCAGCCGGCAGAGGTTGGAGAGCTGCTGCAACTGGCGCCGACGTTGGCGTTAGAGCTCATCTGAACGCTGGTGCTGGTGGTAGTGGTTAGAAGAGGAGAAAGGCACCCAATTTCTGCAGCCCGGTCGGGAGCACGAAGCAGTGCCTAATCTGAACAGGAGCTAAGCGAGAATGACGGGATTAAGCCGACAGAGTGCACGCCTAGAAAGGGGCGAATGGGCTTACAGGCTGCAGCGAGGGCGGAGAAGGCGACCGAACGCCTGCGAAAAGGAGAAGAGTGCGCGGCTTCGGCGCGGGGGAGGGGAAGGCGACCTGTCTAAAGGAGAAGAGTTGAATAGCGAGTAGGCGCATGTGCACTGGAGCGCGGACGCCACCCGATCTAGCTCGCTCTAAGATGCTTCGCATCCTTAGTGAAAGGAATCAACTGTTCGCATCTGAAAGCACACGTGTTCAAGCCAACTGCACGATCAGAAAACGGCGCTAGAATTTCAATGTCAATGAAGTGGGTAGCTAGATTAAATAGAAAGGTAATTATGAAGGCAATAGACTGATATTTTAATCAAACAAAACTGCCACACCTTTGCATGTTATCTTCAAGCCCGAGAACCGAAGAGTTAACCACTTCCAGGAATGAACTTGTCAATTTTGCCTGGTAAACCGAAGTTGCGTTCTTTGCCATTTCAGTTCGCTTTTATGCATCTCCATAAAAAATAGTGGCTACAGCAGTTAATTTAGTGCAGTACCTAAGCTTGGGAGTGGCTATGAATTAACAATATCCCTTTGCAAGTATTAACTTCCATAGGCAGTTTAGAACGTCGCTTTTTGTCAAGTCAATCCCGAGAATATAAACTAGCATTGCATTTCGTCTCGTATCCAAAAGTTCGAAAGCATTTGCACTTCAAGTCTAGCTATGCAGTTCTTCATATTACAGAGCCTGACAATTCTCGCCCACAAAGCTACCAGTCTTCCAAGCCATACTAACTTTAGAGTCAAATGCAAAGAAAAACTCAACACAAGCACCCACACGCTTACCAGATTACCACCAGAAAACAAAAACTTTTATTAAGCCACATACAGTACAGTACATTTTTTTTATTTCATAAATTACTTTAATGCTTGACTTCCCATGGACACGTTGCAAAAATGAAATAAAAAGGAGATAAAAGGTGGTTTAGGTGCGGATGCAACCCTGCCTGCAAGAAACATTACAAGCAAACCGCCCCACAGAAGCCCCAGTGTGTGTGTGTGTGTGTGTGTTTTTGCATGCACTAATTGCACTAGCCCACCATGATGCTGCGCAAAATGCCGCCAATGAGCCTACACTGTGGTTTCCAGAGGGGGCAATGCACCACCTATACATGCACCGAACACAGCGCTTACTTCTTGCGGGCAAAGAAGTTTACATAAAATTGCGCTAGTTAAGAAATAAAAAGAGGCAACAATAAGCCCAGAGGAAGTATGCCCAAAAAAACTAACGCAAAAAATACATTCTCGAGGCTGTACAGTTCCCCTTGCAGCAAGGAACCTAGGCCTGTTTCGATCACAAATATACTATTTTCGTTTTTCATTTAAAGCCATACGTGCATTCCACTGAAACAATAAAAATAGTACAGCTATTCAACTCTGTAACAATAGCCTCAAAACACACTTTATGTATAAATAATTGTTAAGGGCTACAAAATAGGAGGAGGGGAGAGAAACGATAGTAGAGCTCATCGCTATTGCAAGCTGCTATGGGCAGCTGTCTGAAAGTCTATTGTACCCCCATCCTGCTTTGTCAAGCTCACAGCAGCCATAAAGCAAGTGATATACAAAAGCAGCACATGACACCCCTTACCAAGCTGAAGTACAACAACGTAGGGCTGTAGAACATACTCTATTGGCATCGGGTAAATAATAGTGTGGGGGAAAAAAACGAACATTACTAATATTTTTGGTCCAGACACGCAAAAAAAAGTTACACTGAAAAAAATGAACAGCAATAGGGGACTTCCAGAATATTTATCACACCAATGCTCTCTCTCTCTCTTGCAACTGCATTCACACCCCAGATTTGTTTTCGTGTCTCGAGTTTTGTGTTGGTCTGTGTGTGGCTGTCGTGTGTGTGTCCACTTGTATTGAGTGCACGTGTCTGTCGTGCGCTGCTCGTGTCGGTCGTGAAAAAGGCACAACAAACCCCAAGGACGTCACCTGCAGCACTGCTTCAAAAATATATGAGCGTGACTCTCCCGTTTCCCTTCTTGCCGTCGTTCCGTTTCCGGGGGAAGGACTGTGGGAAGGCCGGTATGGGAGGGTGCCCAACAAACACACCTTGGAAGGAACAATGCAGGCTAAGAAACAAAAAACCCCAAAACAGACGCAATAGCAAGGACTGACGGCTGGCGAGAGATTTGCAAACACACTTCAGGTGGGAACTCTCGTCTGTTCACGGCTGTTATGTTGAAAATCGGGAAACGAAGTCTGGAAGCTTGACAAGTACATTAGAAGGTCGTGACAGATGCAGCGGCCACAAATCCAGCAAGAAAATCAGCATGCTTATGTGACATCATGGTGTGAACATTCGTTCGGTAACATATGCACAAGCAGTTTGGGGAAATTAAAAAAAAAAAAAAAGGTTGAGCCTCAAGAGCAGGGGCTGTGTTGAAAAGAGAGAGAGTGGGTGGGGAAAAAGAAGGAGAGAGATTCTGCTTCACAAGGAGCAGGTTTGATCTCTTCAACGAGGTTGACGTCGCACTTGTTCGGTAGCATCTGCAGGGCGCAGATGACTGCCATTGTACCATAACAGTGGGCTCTCCCTCGATACAAAAAATCAAAACCCAGGAACAAATGCTGGAGGAAGGGAAGTACTTGGTACTAAAAGATTAAGGTCAGAAAAGTCTATGGAAGGCAAGAATACGGGTGCTATAATTTTACTCCTAGTACAGGACGGCGTATGAGCACGACGAGCGCATGTGCATGGACACGAAAGGGCAAAAATTACATGCGACAAAAGATTTCGCATCAGACCAGATGCCACATGCGTACGGTATCATAAGTCCTTATGATGCCTCTTCAATGTAATCAAATCAAGGTGCCCATATGCACGATTACCGAGTCGTAATCATTCTCTAGACCCAACATACTCCTTTAACTGGCACTCCTCCGTGCAAGATGAAAATTGACAATCAGTAAACGAAGATAAAGAAAAACAGTTCTGCTTCTTCAGACAATACATGTTCAATCTCCCCGGTGAAACACACACCCGTGTCAATTTCATTTAGCACCTGCCTACGTTGCTCGACTCCATCGGCATGCAACAAGTTGTGGAGCGTGCTCTGTACAAGCAATGAGTTAACCTCCATTGAAAGATCGAAGGCTTCTTTTCATGTAGAGAAGTACATTACAATCATTCAGCGTGCTGGAAGGCATGTGATCACTGCTACCCAGTCACTTGGTTCGTAAATCATCACCGTATAAAAGAACAATAAAAGACATAAGGAGCAAAAAAAAAAAGAAAAGAAACGAGACACCGTCATGCACAATCAACTTCGCCTTTGCCGAGTCATGCAAGTACCCCCTTTTCATACAAACAAATCCTTGTCTTCTAACCCAGCTGAACCGAACATTTTCATTTGCCAAGCATTTGTTGTATAAAAAGAGAATGAACTATGGCAAAAAATCAACGCTACGAAGAAGAAAATTCATCCGGAGACTGCAAGTGCATGAATCGCCAACAGAATGCTTTAAACAAAGACAGCAGTCCCTTATTACATTTAAAAAGAGAAAAGAAAAAGAGAATAAATAAAGTAGCCAAAAGAAGTCAGAAGTAAACATGTGCACCGGGCGCAAAGTTTTTGGTGCATGGTCGTAAACGTTATCACCAGTTTCACAGAGAGACGAGAGTGAGCTTTCGACAGGAAGAGAGAAAGAGAAGTGCAGATCGGAAAGCAGTTTGATTCTATGAAGCGCTTATCCTCTTCACTGCTGCCATCTTTGGAAAGAAGCTGCGCGCTATTGGCTGCACTACGAACTCTTTCTGCTGCTGCTGCTTGGCGAGACACTGCACGCATAACAGAGGTCTCGAAGGATCAAACCTAAGGGCAAGGTGGGGCGTAAAAATATTTAACAAAAAAAGTCTGAGAGAGAGAACAATGGAGGGGGGAGGAAGTTTGGGTAAACCCTGAACGAACGCGATGCCCCATAGCATGAGACAACAAACAAGCAAGGCCCAGTGTTGGTCTTCACTGCTTCCTTCCTCCTCTTGCCTTCCTTCTCTCCTCGGCCTCTCGCGAGTGCTGGCAGCTGCGGTTGCGTGCACTTTGCGGCTGTGTGTTTTCGTGTATTCGTGATCTGCGACAGAAGAGAGCGAGGTCGAACGCAACGACTTAGTGCTACAAACACATGGGTGTGAAGGTGATAAAATGCCAAACAGGGAGTCATTGTGAAAAATAGTGCTACCTATTGCATCATGGAATGACAAACAACACTCTCCTAAAAATAAACCATGCCATTTCGCGTGCTGGAACACTGTAGCTTGTGAGGGACTCGGTTGTTCAGGGTGGCATATTTAGTTTTGAATACCCAGGGTTATCGAATACAGGTTCAAAACATTATTACACTATCATTTATTGCATTCTGCTTCATTAGGACATGAATGAAAATCGAATTTAGTGAAGTTGCGTTTGTGAGTACAACACTGCAGCCACTGGAATGGGTGAAAAACTGCTCCACCTGGACTCATGTCAACTTTAACTGAACTTTGCAAATCTATTTGAATCAAGTTGAGTACCTACAAATTAACACAAGTTTGGTTTCAGACAAGTTCACTCTTAAGTCCAATAAAAGAAGTTCAGTCAAACAGAAGGTAGGTAACATGCAAGTTTCCTTTTTTTCTTTTACACTCCATCATATTGTCTTACAAACTATTTATGGTCTGTATCTACTGTTCACTACTTGTCTATTCCTGCTAATGTAGCTGGAGTGTTTCCCAAACCACGAAACAAATGGAAAAATAAATACTACTGGAACATAATTATATAAATATGGCTCCGAAATATGCTAGGAATATGTAACATTGAGACATGAAAGCGAAAGATTTGAAATTAGGATAACATTTTGAAACCTTCCCAGAAAAATCGATTTTGCCATGTTCCATATACCCGCCACAGTGATCTAGTGGTTAGGGTGCCCGACTGGTGGCCTGCAGGTCACGAGATCGAATTCCAGCCACGATGTCTGCATTGCATGAGCCTCAGGTAGTCGAAATTTCTGCAGCCCTCCATTACAGCGTCTCTTATAATCATATCATGATTTTAAGACTTTAAACCCCTACAATTATTATTATAACCATGTTCCATATCGAACACATAGAGATGCAAATGTGAAATCTGCACAATCAACAAACTGGATTTGTGCTATGCCACATGATTTTTGCTTTTCCATAACCATCAAAAGTAGCAATGGTGAAAAGCGAATCCCATTACTGGAGCAGTTCTCCCTTCTCCAAGTTCATGATACACGTTGTGGACATAACACTCACCTAAGCCTTTTCCACGGCTGCATTCGGTGGCTGATAGACCATGCCACCACCTCGGATTGCAGCACCCACAGGGGCATGGGGCTGGCCGGCTCGGATTGGCTTGGCTGCACACACAAACACAGAAAAACGATTTTAGGCAACCAATAGCAAAACAGGCCAACGTCATTTGCAACCGGTCTTGTTTTGTGGCCTACAAATGGGAGAAGGGACACTGAACTACAGCCTTCAATTTTATTCTGTGTCAGCACGGAGCAGACAAACTGCATGGGTCAAAGTTATATGAGCAGCTATCTTGTTAGCAGCTTGAAGATTGGGCTGATTACCTATATCTCTTGATAAGAATTGATACTGAAGCATTCAAGGGGTGAATTCTGCACTGTACTGCTACAGACATGATTTGATGATACAAGCGAATACTGGTACACAAAAGACAATTGGCTGTGTATGTGAGGATGACTAGTACCAACAAAAATAATGATAAAACAATGAATTCCATAAAGGAGCAACATTAAAATTCATCACAGTTATAAATAACACATTCTGACTCTGCTTCTACATCGTACAAAATTGATTCTATTGGTATTACAGCAGATAAAAATGGTTATTTTTGTAGTTTTTTTGCCAGTGAACAGTTAGTATTTAATTATTTTGAAGTGACGCAAATGAGCTAATGAGCCAACCTGGCTATAACACAAGTAATCTGTGAAACATGGATAACACAACAGTAACGATAGCATAGTTAAAACATGGGTCCTCAGATCAATGATGTTACTTGAAAAAAAGCCATCAAACTCACAAGACACGAGAACAAAGCAGACACATGCACAGTATTGTGTGCATCTGCTTTTGTCTCATGCTTTTTTTTTTCTCCTTTGAGTCGTACAGGATACCAGTTGGTGCAATGCAATATCCCAATACGTATTGTGCATTTTTCACTGGATAAACTTCACGGATAAAAATAGAAAGGCTCATTATACCAGCATATCCACAAACTTCCCAATGCATATAAAGCAGTCCAAAATTCAGATGGCCCTTGTGAATAACATACCAATGCATATAAAGCAGTCCAAAATTCAGATGGCCCTTGTGAATACAATATCTTATGAAGCATTATTCACCAGTATTAACGAGAATTAACAGACAATGATGCCAAAGAAAGTATAGGCAGGTGTAGAAGCGGACTTCAGTCTTTTGGAGCAGCTTTGGGAGCAGGAATAATGCCGTTTTGGAGCAGCTTTGGAGCAGTAAAAAAGGAGTTTTGGAGCAGCTCTGGAGCAGAAAAAGGTGTATTTTGGAGCATCGAAATTCATTTATAGACCAGATTTCTCAGGCCACACATCACTGTTAATTAGTTTTGCTTTCTGGTAAACACAAAATTTCAGTGGCTTTTACTAAGCATGCAATGCTGATCAAGCGACCAGACTAACCCGAAATTCATATATATAAAATGTCAAAGGTGAAAGCGCAGCATCTCAAAGAGAAAACATAAGCGGTGTTCTGTAGTGCTACTAGAACCCAGACGGATGAAAAAATTAATATTAAATTGTTACAATGTTGAAAATGTTATTAAAACAACGCATCCAACATTAACAGCGAGCCAAGACTACAGATGACCTATTATATAATAAATGTTACCTTCATACTAAACCCACATTGCTGTATAAAAATAAATATAAAAAACTGATGTTCCGGTCGTTGAAGTACCACAGCCGACATGAGAACCACGAGAAAATTTACTAGATGCACTCGCTGTGCCATTACTAGACAATTAAGTGAAAATGTTTTCATTGTTACAGGAATGATATGGACACTCAACAGGTTTTCGCCATTACCACCGTGTTCCGCATGAACTACAATTTGGTACCGTTCCTTGTGAATCGTACGTTCGACCAGTGCCTCCTCTATTTTATCAATGCAAGCCAGATGCACCGGATCCAGCTGTTCACAACCTCCTCCTCTAGACTTTTCCTGCTCTTGCCCATCACTCAGACTTCGCCTGTGCTTTGCGATCATGGGAAAGAGAGCCCTTCATGCAGTGCCTCACGACGAGAATAATATAAAGTAATTTTTTGTTCAGTTGTGTACAGATCCGTGAGGCCGCGTCTTGCATTCATCATTATCACATCGTTAGTGGTCACGTTGGCTCTATAAGTGATAAGGTGTTTTGAGATGTGTGTCGCCATTCGTGGCGCTAGGCGGGTAACCAATGTAACGCGTCACGGTGACGCCGCTGCATAAGTAGTGCTGTGAGGTGGTGAGGGCATTGCTTCTGGCTACAAAGAACGAGCACGAACAAACAAACCTGACAGACATATGATATTGGAGAGAGCCACACGTCCATCAGGTTTCCGTGAGCAAACGCTCGGAAGCACATGTGATGCAAGCAGTCCTATAGCCCTCCTGTGGTGTCACATCCCGACCACTTTTTGAACTGAGGCAGACCGACAGCTCCCGTTGAAGAGCGCACGTTTGCACAGACATTGGATGTAATAAAGAAGGCGTCGGTTCGACCAGTGCGTAAAATTGCGCAAGCTGTTGTGATGAGCACTGCTCAAGCAAAGATTAAATGAGACGGCCGATCTCCGTCACTCGGAGGGTGCATGCGTTAACACCCCACCGCGTGTTAGAACTGCCGTCAAATGCTCAAGCAGATAGGAGACACGCTGCCCGTCTTGAACGAGCATGAAAAGACACAGTGAAAGGGAGGGGGGTCGTTCGAGCAGCAGCCGTGAACTTTGATTCTAATCAAGGGCGTGGTTGCGATGGCTGGCACATGCGATATCGGTAAGCATCAGCGCACGGCTTGTAAACCGTTCTACGTGGTGCACACTCAACGGGAAGAGATTGTACAATAAAAGCATTCCTCCCTGGAGCGGACGTACTTATTCTCTTGCACCAGCGTTTCGCAGTTGTGAGTGTCGTGATGTCGACGAAAGCAGCAGCCGCTGTTTTCATGAAATAACTTTTTTATTTGGGCTAACCTGCGCCAGGAAAACAAAACGTCACTCTACAAGCAATGCACGTTGCAGCACTGATAGCTGCGAACATAGAGCGCCGGCCGTGGATAAACTGCCACATAGCAAAGTGCGTTGGCATTTATACATGCGCCATCAAAGATTCTAGTGTTCTCGCTAGCCGCCTCGTAAGTTCCAGAACAAACTGTAATGTACTTGTAGTGCGTGTAGTCTCATTGGATGGTTCTAAGATTATCTCGAAGGTCCCCAGTCGTTCGGCCGCGGTTTGCGCAAGGCAGCGTTACACACGTAAAAGTGCGGTAACAAAGATAAAAAGAAATAAGCACGTGCAGCATCACCATTATACAAAATTACAAATTGTTGCTATTGCCCTCATCGCTTCACCGGTAAGACAGATTTTTTTTTTTTGTCAGTTTATATGGCAAAAAAACTCGCCGCACCATTGCCGAGCAACCACCGAGCGCGTGCTATGCCCGGCGATTGCGGTGCAGCGACTTTTTTTTGCAACACCACTAGCGTCTTTATAGTTTGCCTAACAGCTTCGCTGTTAAAACATATATGTCACATAATGAGGTAAGCACAAATAAATGCTACCTTAACAAAAATCATGCATTATTTTCCTGAACAACTGAGTACAGCCCAGATCCCAACGGTTCAAGACCCACCACAGCAGGTAACACTTTTGCGTTCCTTGCGATTCATGCATGTTCCGAAATGCGACGTTTGACGCGAACGCTGAATTTTATATGGACGCAGTTGTGCCCTCTGTACAGCCCACGCATGTTGCTCTGTTAATGATAAATCTCTCAACTAAATTTGGCATTGCACGTGCAAATTGCCCTTTAGGCATGGCTTGGCGCAGCAGGTCAGATTGGCACAGCGTGGTGCAATTGGTGCAGCACTTCCACCCCTGTATAGGGGATGTTATTAAAAGCAATTGCAATGTAAATATGAAGAAAGAAAAGTGGACGAAAGGAAAAGTGGACGAAAGGACGAAAGGATAAGGAAAGTGGACCTTCGAATAATCCGCCTGACGCTCTACCACTTCTACCACTGAGCTTTTCTTTCTTCACAATTGCGTTACAATTACTTCCCCTATGCTTTCCTTGGTGTCACTGTCTGTTAGTTCTCGTTATAGTATATCTAACAAAGAAACCGACCACTTAAATTTACACTCCTTTCCTTCATTATTCACCAGTGAAACCTATGTGAGATGCTCATCGAGTGGATGTCATTATTTCCACACACTGTGGACGTTACGCAGATGAATAACACACTGCCAGCTCTGGCACATTCGCAAGACAAGTTGCTCAGTGGCATGCTGAGCTTGTAACTGTGTCTGGAAGTGCCTTTTTAGTACCCTTTTACGATTATATACTATATGTATAGTCACTTACAGACCATTCACACTAACACCCCCCCCCCCCCCACACACACACACACATAAGGGGAATTATTTCACTGTCTCAGCTCCAGAATCGCAAAGTGCGCATGTTCAGTAAACATCTGCAGTCAGCACCTACCTATTTGTGCCATGTGCGTCCTCCTGGCCAGGTTCTTCTGCCTGACAGCCTCCTTGATGCGATCCACCTCATACTGGTAGCTGAAATGTTGCATACATGCACAATGTAACCATGCGATTGGACACAAGACAGCAAAAGAGCAAAGCGACAAGTCCTTTCACACGCCAGAGCAAAGCCAAGTAATGGTAAAACTTTACACAGACCTGGCTTCTCCCTATACCTGAAAACAAGTGACAAATTCAAACCAACCGCATTATATATCTCTCATCCATGCCTCCCCTATGCTAACCACAGAAGGAAGCAAAATCTATCAACACTTGTTCGTAGTGCAACATGGAAAACAATGGCACCAATGGCCCACATTTTCAGCGCCCATCACATTGTGAGAGTTTTCTCTGAGGTACAGTGGATACCTGTAAGAGTTGCCAAGCAGCTGTCTGCAGTCTGCACCTAAACATAGTTAAATATTCTTAAATGTCTGCCCAGGGTGCCTATGATAGAGTTCCCATATTGAGCAGTATTTCCAGCTTTTACTTACGCTATCCAGACAACTTTCCTGAAAGGATAAGTAGGAATGGTGCTTTTGCAACACTACAATAATGCATTAATTAACGATAATAACTAGTAACTAGCAACAGTCTGTAAGCTGTATATTTAGGGTCAATAAGTGCCTAAATGCTAGATTGAACAATGCATCCCATGCTAGCCATTTCATAATATATATATATATATATATATATATATATACAGCTTACAGACTATTGCTAGTTACTAGTTAAAGTCAAACCTGCTGACTTTTTTTTATACTTCAGATTCAGTGAGACGCTTCCCTGTTTTCCTTGCTTTCTGCTGGCCTCCACACAACTAGAAAAACACTTTTTCATAGCAGCCGGGGTGAGCATTCTTTTTAAAGCCTATAGCAGCCATTAAAAATTTCCTTGCAATTCCAGTTTTTCGTAATTACCAATATTGAATTTCCATGCAAGCTTGTAATCATTTATTCGTTATCCATTTTGATAAAATAATTAACATTTACAAATGTAACAGATTGAACACATGGCAACTCTGATACTTTACAAAGCTTGTGTCTATCTGCACCAATGCCACATTCCGAAGATGGTGCTTCTGTGCATCCTTGTTGTCGCTACCTTTTTACTACACCTGAAGGTCAGAAAGTCCACTGTGTCAAACACAGACGTAATGCTGCAACAAAGTCTGTATTTTGCTAAGGAGCACTAGCCCGAATAGTCTGACGACTAATTGGGCACCGAAGGTGCATCTGCTAGGTGACCGACGTAGCCAATAGGGAGGGTCAGTCATTCTCCAGTTCCATTACACAAGGCGACGTGAGGAGAAGCATCTCCAGGAAAGTGGAGCAGGGCATGGGAAAGGCAATTCACTCACCGCTTTCTGTCGCGCATGGCACTTTCCTTCGCTTCCTTCAGAGCACTCTCCAGAGCCTTGACTCGCTCCATGGTTGCTCGCAAGCGCTTCTCCAGCTTAGGCAGTTCACAGCGCAAGTCGGCGTTGTCACGCACCAACTACAACATACACAGAACAAGACGGAAAATGAACAGAATGAAAAAAAAAGTCCAGGTGAATAAAAAAGGAACGCTGGCTGTTCCATAAGAAAAAGAAAATGAAAGTCAATGATAACCAATGAAGTGCATGCCTCAAATGGTGCACGCTGTCGATTAACAGCACTGCTCTATAACTACAGTTCATCCATGTTTGTGCAAATGCTTAGAAACCGCAGATGTTCACTTTGTGGGAATCGAGGCTAGCCCGCCGCCTTTGTGCAGACTTTGCCGCCTCTTCCTCCATTCTCCTGCCCCGACATGACTCCCCGCCTCGGTGGTCTGCCGCGCTGGGAAAGCGAGGAGTGACGCTTAACCCCTCTCACCTGGTAGCGGATGTCGACTGTGGCGCCGGGCGCAAGATCTCCCGAGAGGTTTCGCGCGCGCGGCGGGAGTGAGAGAGACTTCTCCAGGGACGACATAGGGGTAAGCACGCTTTTCTTTTCCATCCGTCGGCTCCCTTTGGGGCTTGTTCGGACTTCGCCAACCGCGGCTTGCGCCCGCTTACCTTATGTCTCCCCCCCCCCCCCCCCCCCCGCCCTTCTTTCCGAGCGCTAGGCCGAGGAGCAAAGCGGTGTCCTAGTGCATGGCCAAGCTATGCCGACTCGTATCTTTCCGAAGCCAACGCGAGTGCCTTTGCTTTCGCTCGAGCAACCGGACCTTCCCGGTGTCTCCGTGAATCACTTTTACCATGGAGATGTGCTCGCGGCACTCTGTGTAGTACTTCTCGCCCGTGGCGTGGATAAGCCCATTTGCCTTCTCGCCGCGCCTTTGCAACGAGCTCTGTACTGCATTTTTGGTGTTGCCGCAGACAATTAAGTGTTGCGACCTTGAGCAGTACTGTGTTCTCGCCATGGCGACGGTTCGCTAACACTCTACAGCTCACTTACACCGGACCCACGCTAGTGGCCGTAATTCTTCGGGACACGTGGCATAGTACAGTGAAATCTCGGTATAATGAACTTCAGGGGACCGCAGAACTTTGTTCGTTATTTTGAAAGGTCGTTATAGTGAAAGCTCGAAAATTAACCATAAATACTTATTTTTCACCGACCGAAACAACTTACCTTTACAATGGTGGGTCCTTGAACTCATTTTTTACGAGAAAAAACAAATGCACAAGAAAACACCAATAAATGCACGTTTACTTTAAAGACGTCTTTTTTTTTTTTTTTTTTTTTTTTTTTGACGCGAGCACCACAAACTTTGCAGCGCGAAGGCCTCCAGCTCATCCACATTCCTATGGTGGAATTCGGTTCTTTGGTCACAACAGCCTGCTTTTTGCCTTCCAGTTGCCAAAGAATATCCATTGTCTCACTTAGCGAAAACTGCTTCCGCTTTTTCGTCGCAAGCAGAGATGAACTCATTTGTAGTATCACCGCAGCGCGAACGCCGACTTGCTTTGCGAACCCGGTAAGTAATCACCGAAAAGAGATGAACACGACTGAAAAAACAAGGCCTCCAAAAAAAACCCGAAGCTTCACGGCCTCTTTCGAAGAAAAAAAAAGTGCTAAAAAAGAAAATTCCTCGCGTTTCGTTTTCTGCTCTCTTGCTGTCTCAGGTTTTACGCGCCCATGCTTCCTGCTCCGCAACTCCCACTCTGCCTTGCTGACCTTGCCCTCCCGTGTTGCCCTTGCCTCTATGCTCACTTGTAAACCTGCAGGGTCAGCGTTTCAACAAAAAAAAAAAAAAAAAAAAAAAAAAAAAAAAAAAAAGAAAGTCGCCCTTTTGTTGTTTTTTTTTTTCCTCCACATTGTCGCGCGTTTTCCGAGAAGCAAGGCGTCCGTTCGCTTTGTTGTCTGCTTGCGTACCGCTCTGGTGATCGCGACGGATTTCAGAACACAAGTTCGTAGTACTGAGGTGTTGTTAATATAACATGGAACTAAATTAATGCTCGTTATTCTGAAAAGTTTGGTATTCTAAAGTACGTAGTAGTGATATAATTTTACATTAAAACTATTAGCAGTCGGTGCAGAATTTTTAAAACTTCGTAGATCTGAAAAGTTTGTTAATGTGGGGTTTGTTCTACCGAGATTTCCCTGTACAACTTGAATGATCTAATTTCGAGCAAAACATTGTCAGAAACAATCACTGTGTAAGGGCCACACTCTTCTATCAGACTCTTTTACACGATGCAGGCTTAACACAGTGCAGGTATGAGGCTGTACACAGTAGTTTGAAACTGTGCTTGAAGTGCCACAAAGAATATTGCGACCATTAACAACAGTCTATAGACACTTCGATTCAGCTGTCCTCAGTGTTTACCAAGCCTGTCTCATCTAGGCACTCTCCCAAAGCTGGTCGTCCTTCATTGCACAAGAAACTGAAATTTGAAATTTTTGAACATCGACAGGAGACCCTTCGATGCCCTGTCAGAGGTGCCAAGTATGCGTTTTGGCCGCGAAGCATGTGCTATTCTCTAGAACTTGGCTGCGCATGATCACAAAAAGAAGGGGAGGGTGTGCAATTGAACTTGTGACCGTGCATTCAGTATCAGTGGCATCATTAGACTGAAGGCGCTGGGGCAATGTAGTGGATGCAGTAAAACCTCTTTGATACGTACTCATTTTATATCATTTGCTGATACCGACATTTGTAATATCATTATTAAGTGAAACTGCATGACATCTCAATAGATTTAGACTACGTTTTCAAGATCGTATGTTTTTTCCCCCATTTTTTTATTTCTTATACTAAAATATGTACTAATGAGGCTGAGCTTTAGAAAATCCGGGGACTAAGCGGAGACAGGTTTATTAGTGAAGTTGGATTGTATGTCTAGCCAGAGAATACATTTTTTTTCATGTTAACGAAAATCTTTTTTAGGGGCGAAGTCCTTATGGCAAGGCTTGCGCGTCCCCCATTGTCATAGTGTGTAACCTGTGGCACATACCCACATACCAGTGGCACAAAACTGCCTTCGGGCTCATACCCACATGTCCACATGTTACGAAAAACTGACAGCAGAAATGTGGTACATGCTCTCATTTAGTCCTTGAATTGTCCACTCGATGGCGGTACTTGAATATGATGAATATATAATAAAAACAAGCGAGATGGTGATGCTTGATGTGTTCACTAGGTGCACGGACGGACGGACACACGGGCAGACAGACAAGCAGACGGACACACACACATACGGATGGACAGACAGGCGCATATAGATGGACTGATGCACGCACGGCCGGAAGCACGAACGGATTGACGGACGCTTTGCCCCACTCATCATCATTCATTCCTTGGATATGCTGCGATTTTATAAAACAAGAAAAACCTCCTTTAGACAGACTGAGGTTTTACAGTACAGGCAGAGCTTTAGAAAATTGGAGGACACTCCGGAGACAAGCAGGTTGGGAATGAATGCACTGCACCAACCTGTTTGTGGACCTTGGTGAGCTGGTCCAGGTTGTTCTCGAGGAAGGCGATCTTCTGCTTCTGAGCCAGGGAGCCGCCACCTCCAGAGTCGTCGGTGTCCTCCCCCTGGTTGGCTTTCTTGACCCGGCTTTGCAGGTCCTGCACGAACAGCTTGCGCAGGTTGTGCAGCGTCTGCAGCTCCTTGGAGACCGTCTCCTCCAGGCCCTTCAAGTCTTGGCGCGCCTGCTCGCGACGTGCGTTGAGGAACTGCAGCTCCTGCAGCTTGTGGCTCTTCTCCTGCTCCTCCTGCTTGAGGCGGTCATACTCCTGCTGCAGCCGGTCCTGCGCCAACGACAGCTTCTGGTTGGCGTCCTTCAGCGCGTCGATGTGGCCGATCTTGTCGGCGATCTCGTCCCGCAGCGAGCTCAGCTGCTTCTGGTGGGCATCGCGGTGCTTCTCGATCTGCTGCTCCAGGGCCTCCTTCATCTTCTCGGCAGAGTCCTTTTCCTTCTCTTTCTCCTTGGAGGCCATGATGTGCATCTCCTCTGCAAGAGTACAGGTACCAACATGCACGAGGTGCACTCGATTCTGGGGCTCATGTGCTCCCACCTGCTGCGCTACTACAGTCGAGTTAGAACATAACAAAGAGTCACCTATGCGCACAGGAATCGCTGTCACTTACATAGAGAATTTACGTGATTTCTCCATCTAGCAGTGCTCGCTCATTTTCATGATGGCAAGCACTACTAGTGTTTCTGATAGTCAACTTCCCCATCCAGACACACATTTGAGTTGCCGGTTTTAGATAAGCAACTTGAATATCCTTGTAAGTTTCGTAAGGAATTCTTACATAGCTGCTCAACCAAACATAACATTTTAGGCAGTACCGACGAATCTTTAGCTCTTAGTATGGGGTGTAGTGTTTACATTAGCCGTGAAGTGTTTTTCGTTTGAGCGTAAACCAGCTAGCATGACTATTTCTCACTGATAAAAGACGGGCATGCCACAGTTCTGTGGGCAAAGCTTACATTTCTTTTTCTTAGGTTATAACCGGCTACAGTCCCATCAAAACTTAATTGAAATCGAGCCTCATTATAAAATTTGCACACTAAAAAGAAATTCAGTATCGATATATATGAACCTCCGATACACATATAACAAGGCTTGAGTTTAATGACAAGCTGTAAAGCATAACAAGAGAAACCTAAAATCTAGCGGGCTGTGCCTTACTGCAGTGAGTATTCCAATGCAACAAAGAAACTAAATTGCACATCTGATATTGTACTGTCAGATACTATTTATTTTGTTTGTAGTTCAAAGTATACACATACTGCGGTATCAATTATACCAAGTAGTTAAAAAAAGTAACTTAATAGAAATGGCCGATTTTGAATGTGCACATGCGTTCTGCCTGTTCGCTGGCTGCTTGGCTGGCCCCGTCTATCCAATGCGATCACACTTATCACACAGTTGCACATTATTGGCGGCTCATAGGACATCTGTAATATTTCAGGCTTGTGCAAATATTTGAACGCTTCGAATTTTTGAAATCGCTTTGACTCAAATACAAATGATGGGAAACTTTGAAGTACTTTGAGTGCAAAACTTAGCAGTTCGATTTGTGTTTTCCGATTACTCCAGGTATACCAGTGTTACTAATCTGCGTAAAAGAGCCGAACTTCATTGCCTTTCCGAACGGAGAATACATTCTAAACTTAAATTCCTGTATCTTCTTTATCATGGGAAATATACAATATCCAGATCAGACTATCTTCTTGAACCTTTCAGGCATTCCACGAGAACTAACCACAATAAGACAATACGACTGCCCACAAGTCGCAACAACATTCACAAAAACTCTGTTTTTCCGTCATCAATTGCATATTGGAATCAACTTCCATTAATAGCTGTGAACTGTGACACCGTAGAATCCTTTATTGAAAAGATTAAAACTATAAGTTTTGAACAATAGACGCAAATGTACGAATAGGGATTTATTGTGAGCAGTTTCTTTCCCTTTGACTGGTTTGTCCTTTTAGCATGATTCTGAACGTTGCATTATGACACTGTTGTTTTGGCTACTTGGAATTCAATAGTTTTTTTTTTTTTTCTTGGATTGTGTCGGTGCCTTTCTGTACGTGACATCATTGTTTGTATACCCTATGTACCACTCCTGCTTGGACCGAGAAGGTCTGCAGTATTTAAATAAATAATAAATAAAATAAATACTCGCAATGAACAAATAAATGTACATTTGTCCCCATGTCACCGCCTGTAAAGGTGGTTTCACCACAATAAAGGGGTGCTCGCTATGAAAACACCTATCCAAGGGAGTCAGCCCTGCTGTGTGCATCTCTAAGGCTAATTGAACATATTCACATTCCCCTCACATCGACTCATCATTTATATATATATATATATATATATATATATATAAGGTATAAAAAATTTTAAAATGCAACACAGGTTATCACTTGCATTCTACCAAAGGTCAAACCTTGCTACTATTCAAAGCTGTTTTCACTGCCTTCGAACAAAAAAAGGGCATTTGTGAAGGCCTTGTTTCAAACTAAAGAAGATAGTGTTCAGGTTGGTTGTGCCACGACGAATATGTCCATTTTTTCTTATAATATGTAATATATACTATTCGAATTTGATTCAAAATAATTTGCCCAATTCACTACTGCCTTTGAATTTGCTTTGAACCAACATTCACTATTTGCGCAAGCCTAGTAATTTAGCTTTTTTTTAAATTATGCCACGTATCAGCCCCTGAGTCATTAAAAGTCAACAGGACAAAGCGCAAAAAGCAACAGGAAGGTTCTTTTTTATTATTGTTATTTTTAAGGGGGGGGAGCTTATCACTTTAGCAGCCACCCTTTGTTGGCTACATGTGCACTTTATTATTATGATTAAGGGGGGACGTGGCAAGTAAAACTAATTTTTTTATTAATGTACTGTTTGTGATGAAATTTGGTGTGTGTATGTGGATGATTGTGAGGATTCCAAATATGAAAACCGTTTTCAAATACCTCTTGTACTTTTTGAGTTACAAGCATAATTATACTAATTAATGCTCTTCACACTTAAAGAGATAATTATTGCTAAATGAAATTATTTTTTCATATTATTATGTTCCCAAAGCATCAACTTGTGCAAAGAAGCTATTAGTTGATTTTTCTAGTTCTTGTAACCATAAATAAAATTTCCAAAACATGGATGTTGTTTTGCGCACACATCGCAGTAATTATAAAATGTGTTCTAAAAATTTTAAATGATGAGTAAGAAGAGAGATAAAGCTTTATTGCACTGCTAAAGGCCTCCTGAGCCTAGTGCAAAAAACGGAACGACTCTATCAGTCTTTGTTAGAAAATGACAGATGTTCTAGCGAAGGCACATAGGCGAAAATCAAGAGTTGAGAAAACTGACTTTGAAAGTTCACTCTTGTTTGGAAGTTCACAACATGCCTGAAACACTCAGAATCCTCCTGGGCAGTAATCCTGAGATGCTGTGGCCTTGGCCTCTGTAGAGCGCAACCCAGTTTTGCGCTTCTTTGTCGTGGAACAATGCGCCTTTTGAGCCCTCTTTACCCTTTTGGCATCCTTTCCGGCTGCTCGCCGCAAAGAGCAGTCTCCTGGATTGAAGCCCAGTTGAGCAGTGATCTCTTGCAGCGCACTCTTGCAGCCACCATTGAAACGGCAGACTGCATCTGCAACTGCACTTTCCACACTTCGAAGGGAGGCGAACTGGCTCTTGGACTGGAGTGACCAAATGAGGCTGTTCATACTCTCCACAGCGTTCTGGGTTTTTCCCTGCGCACACCTTTCAAGGAGCTCTTTGTTCGAGAGGCGCTTGTAGATTGGCAGCAGTGCCACTCGCACGTGAGGGGGCAGTTTATGTTTGTGAGGCGGCAGCGGCTCTCCCTTGGCCAATGCCTGATTGTGCGGGCACCAGGAGTCAGTCCCACTTGGGCACAGGTTGTGGTGTGGATCCTGGTCTGTGGATGTTACATGGTAATAAGTGGCCATGATGGCCCTCTCCATGCCAGGAACATCGTTGGGGTGGCTCTTAATGGCCCAGCCATAATAATTCGTCAACTTCTTTATCAGGCCCTGCGTCAGCCGGCCTTTGCCACCCATGCTCAGTCCTCGGCCTTTGGATTTGTGCTCATCAAGAAGGTTGCGCAAGGAAGTGCCCATTCTTTTTTTCACATGGTTCACACACTCCTGTTTCTTAATCACCATGTAGCCATACACCTTGTCTTGCGTGAGGGCAAGGTACGTACGGCTGTCACCGTCGCAGAGCACATTGATGTATCGAAGCTTGTACTTGGTAAACGATCTTTCAAACATGATCCTAGCTGCTTCTACTTCCATTTGGCCTGCATTAGCATCGGTGTTCTTTTGGCACTGTGGCTTGTGTTTCTCAAGCCACTCCTCATAGTTGTCGTCACCAGGCTTGGGGCCAACAGCACAGCCTTGGCAGTAGTTGGACAGGACACAGTGGTCCAAGACCAAGCCTGTGTACAGCTCGATTACACAGCCCACGCCAATATGACTTCTGTGCCCCCTCGTCATCCACGTGCCGTCGTAAATGACGTCAATGTTGCCTGGCACTCCTCCTAGGTCCTTGTAAATGTCATGCACCTTCTGTGCACTTTCTGCTTCAATGCGGGTGGCAGCTGATGTGGTGGCAGGGTGGCTGTACTTCCTTTGCAGTCTCTGGTAGGACTTGTGGTGCAGTGCTCGATGCGAAATGTCCATCGCAGAAAAAATGTCATTTATGGCAGATTGTTTTCTGCCAACTGACTGCACAGCCCTCAAAGCACGCACGTTTACCTCAAAGGGGTTCGTTTTTTGTTGCCCGGAGCACCTCGGGGACGACCACGCACTGTTCACTCTGCCACAATTGTCACAAAAAAGTTCCATCCTCGCTGCGAGTCCAAGGCAGTGCGTAGTCTCGAGGCGTATCGACCCTTCGTCGCACTTGTTGCACTTTACTGACGAAAGCAGACCGTTCAGCATCTTCTTATTTACAATGAAGAATGTGGAGTCCTTACCGCCGTCATTTTCGTCGCAGCCTTCGTTCAGAAGCTCGAGCTTCCGCTTTGAAGCGGACTTCGATGCTACGGCATCCAAAACATCCCGCCTTGTCTGCGCCCGCTGCGCGATTTCTTCACTGCTCGGAATCTGGGCCGAAACTCGCGATAGAATGTTCGACGCGCGCACGCCCGGAGTTGCAACGGCTGCCGACGCGGTGCCACCGCAAGCGGGTTCGCGAGAGCGTCCATCACGGTCGACGGCATCCGGCGGTCTGACATACGACGATGTGGCACCTTCCACACTCTCGGCCTCACAACAATCAGCGAAGGGTCTGAGTAGAGGCTCCGTGACGCTTGAAGAGCATGCTCCGTCCGGAACTGCGACTGGGACGGCAGCCGCAGTCGTCTGCCCTTTGTTCCAAGCTTTCCGACGCTTGCCGTACTTGTGGACGCTCCGGAACTTTTTTTGCGGCAACATAGCACCGCAGTATGAGCAAGCACTCAGAAGAGACCACCGATGTAAACAAAGCTTGGTAAAAAAAGCACGCGAACTATCACAAAAACAGCAAACTGGCAAAAAACGAAGCGCACGCCGGATGATTCTCGACACGGCGGCCGCAGATGCGCTCGCGCTTCCAAGGTTGCCAAGGTGCGCGGCGCAGCTTTGACCAGTAAGAGGTCGCGCCTGCTACCACGTGACCTGCGCAGCCAATTGCCGTTCTTCGTTTTCGTTTTTTTACTTGCTCCTCGCGCTTTTATTTTCACTCGGCGAAATACGAGACCGCGACCATCAGGAAGCCGGCTTTCTCCTCTTTCCAAAGCTACCAAAATGGCGGCCCACGGTCAACAACTTGGCGCGTTTGTGCGGCGTGAACAACACCGTTTCAGGGGCTTTTTTTTCGCACTTTTCGGCGACTAGCCTCGGCAAAAACACTATTTGCGGGATTTGTAGCGCACGTTTCGCTGTAATATTTTAGAACAAGGAAGTTGAAGGTCTGAAGATTACGAAAAAAAATAAATCAGAAAATCGCATATTTTGACCAAAATCGGCACTTTACTTGCCGCGCCCCCCCTTAACCTTTCAATACAGTATGCAACAGGCAGCAAGCCTCAAAAAGTAAATTGACAAGCATTGCCTCGATTTTTGATAACAGCGACTATTTCAGCAATCTGCTGTTGCCAATTTATTGCCTACCGCAGGAACTCATACGAGCAGACTTGCTTGAAGCAAATATCCTTCTGTTATCTATTACAAGATTTTCAAGAACATCTATAGAGATTGATGAGTTCAATTTATTTGTGATGTATTACATGTAGCATTTATATATGGCAGGAGCGCCAGCAAAAGAAGTGTTGTTGCTGCTTGCGTTCACTCCGCTTGACAGCTGGTCAGTTTTACCTCTGCCTTTTCCCACCATAAACCTGTCTTCAGCTCATCGCTAAAGGCGCACTAACACACAGAACAAGCACCCCATTCATGAATTTGCTGTAAATATAGGAGTACTGTCAGGTAAGCAGCTAAGCTATTCAGAAGAACATTTCGGTAACCAGTTGAGATTGCATGCAGCTTCACTGTGCTGCAAACACACAGCCGCATAGGCGAACGCATCACCCATTACATGAGAAATGCTTGTAAACCTTACCAGCTGCCTTGAGCTTGGCGCACTCCTCATTGAGCTCGTCAAGAGACTCTTCCAAGGCGCGCTTCTTGTTCTCAATATCCTTCATGGACTCCTGCAACGACTTCATCTTTGCTTCGTACTGACTGATCAGGAGACGGCACTCGGCCAAATCCTTCTCGTTGGACTCAATCTTCTTGTTGCAGTCTGACTGGAATGACTCCAACTGGTGGCAGCGCTAAAAGGTCGGAGAAAAAAAAAGCTCAGTTTAGTTCAGCCTTCTAAGACACACACAGACTAGTAAACGAATGCTGCATGCCGAAGTATCCACGTGCTGAAGTAACACAGTAAAAAAATGCAGCGTGCTTGTTTAAATTGATCGACATTCATGCTAACGGTTCTTGAGGCTCTAAAGCTCCATAAAATTCAGCATTGAGGTGCTCATACACAGCTGCATTACACAGGAAACATCCACTAAGAATAAATTTTTTTGTGCGAAGTGATTAATTCACTGCTTTGAAACAGGCAATGGCTTCATGTCTCCAAACACAAGAGCAATCAGTCCATAATAATATCTCCAACAAAGAATAGTTAACATGGTCATTACCTTACATAAAACAATAATAATCTCAATGCCTTTTACTGATGGTTTAGATGTGCTTGCATTTGCATGCCTCTTCATAAGCCAAGGTCAGTATGCTGACCTATGTTACTTAAAAAAAAAAAAAAAACACACACCCCACAAAACACCACCACATGACATCGGTTATACATAGTGCTGATTTTCAGTATTTTAGCAACAGCCGCACAAACTTTCCTGCTGGAGTTGAGTGGTTTTATATTGTCAAGAGTTTACAGGGTGCACCTTGCTTTTAAATGTTTACAATGAATAACTATGAATTAATAGTTTAGTAATGATACATGCAGCATCAACTCAACATCACTTACTTACAGGCTCAGCAGACTTTAATTTTCAGGATAACTGCACATCAAAAGGCACTTGGAAATTGAGTTAATCTGTTTAAACGCACTTGTGACATAAACCCGAGACAGGCCTGGAAGTGATGATCAATTACACAAGCTGATGGCATCTACATGGCTAGCAGGGTGAAGAGATATCAAAGTTGCTTTGTGCATCAAACATGGGTGACAAAAATGGAAGGTCGGAGCCAGATGCATTGATTTAAACTCTAGGCAACACAGCACTGATTATTCGAACGCTCAACCTAGGGTACAGAAGATAACGGTGAGTAATTCACTTGCTCACCTGAGCCAATGCTTTCACCTCGGACTTCATCTTACTTATGTATAACCGAGCCACTGTGAACTCTTCTTCAATCTTCCCATTAACATCAGTGGCTGGCTGTAATAAGAAAACAAAAATACTGTCAGAATGAATTACAAAGTCAAAGCTGTGGGTAGGAACATGCGAAGCATTAATAGAAATTAGTATATAAGAAGAAAAGGAATGACAGTGTGTGGGAGGGAAGAGATGGGCTAGAATGTGCTTTAGAACAAAAATTTGAACCCAGAGAAGGTTTGATTATAACGACTCCAGTTATGTTTTCGCTTGAATTTTAAATGTATCAACAGTGCAGGTAAACGTAACAATACCACAGGATATGACAAGGCACAATAATGACGTTTATTTAACAAAATGTTGTAAACAAAACACGACTTTGGGCAAAGTCATGTGTGTACTTAATTTCTACAGTAGTATTCGGTTCATACCACACTGGTGCAACAATGGTTGTTACAATTACACCACAGCCGACATCACCTTTAGTTGTCAGATTCATCGCAACATCGAACGATCACCTGTAGCAACTGCTCATGTCAGCTGTTGCATCATGTTTCATTCCTTACGCTCAGTATTAACATGCTGGTGTGCAATGACGTGATTATCCTGAGCTATTGCCCATGTAAGCTGTTGTGCCATATTTCATTCCTCATGCACAGCATTTCACTGCCGATATGAAATGATGACTACACTGACCAAATGCAAATGTGTATACATATTCATACAGGATACAGTGACTCTGTAAAGATGGCAACTGTGTGCAGTGCCCTTTACAGTACTGACCTTGGCTATACAATACTGACCTTGGCTTCGCCAGCAGGGCCGCCCAGGACAATGCCTATCTCGGCAAGGTCCTTGAGCAGCGAGGTCAGCATTTCGGTGGTGCGCTTCTTCTGGTGCACCGAGTGGTCCTTCATCTGCTGCAGCTCGTTCTGCGCCGAGTTGAGCTGGCACAGCTTCTGGTTGAGCTCCTCGCCAAGGGACTCGCACTCGCGGTTCTTAGCGTCCACTTCCTGGGACTTCTGGTCGTAGTTGACGGCCAGCTCCTCCAGGGCCTGGAGCACCTCCTTGACCTCTTCCTTGGCCGACTCATTTTCTTGCTGGATGCGCAGCATCTCCTGCTGAAGGCCACTGTAGTCCCGCCGTGTGGTCGTGATCAGCTGCGAGCCACATAGAGACATCATCATCACTCTCAGCCTGTGTTAGTCCACGGCAGAACGAAGGCCTTTCCCAATGATCTCCAGTTCACTCTATCTACCCTGTGCGAACTGATTCCATTTGATCCCTGTGAACTTTATAATTTTGCAGAGACATGATTGTCACTAAATATGAAAACTTTGAAATACTTTTTTAGTGTATTTATCACAGGAACCCCTACCCCTTCCCTCTGAGGTGCGTATACTCAGTATGCAGAGCAAAGACAAGGTACTAGGAGAATCAGCTATGCCCCTTCCCATGCGCTTCACTGCACAGCAAAAGTGCATTTCTTCTAGTTCACTTCACCACTGCACACGGTTGTATTGCTGTGAACCTTACTAACGTTTACGTCATCATTATGTAGCCTATAAACGAACTTGCTGTGGTGAGACACTCATATTTTTAGACACACACATTGCATGCTTTAACAGCGAAGGTGTTCTTAGTCGAGCTTTTCTCGTCCCTTGGCGTAGCGCTGGTCATGAGGTCTTGCGGTGTGGTGAGAGTGGAACTCGGTAGGAGAGGAATGGCTGCACCAAGCCACGATGGATGAGGGTAAGGTTTGGTGAAAGGGTGTACAATGAGAAGAGCACAAATATGAGTGAGGGTGGGCCTGACGAAGGGGGCATCAGCTTCTCTATTTCAACAATGTTCGCAAAGTGAATCTGGCCACACATCCCCCACCCCTCATGACAGACAATTTCACGGCAATTCAATGTCTTGTTTGACAGCAGCTGCCAAAACAGTGCCATTTAATCCGTGTAATATGTCAAATGACATAAGAAGAAATTGTGACATTAATGGAAGTGCACTTGAACGGGCATAGCCTTCTGCACACTGCAAGTGGTGGTTCAAGTACTTTACTTTTGTGTGAGACTTCCTACATGTCACAATAGCTGAATACGGATAATGATAACATATACTTCAGACAGGCTGTACTAGGGAATAATATCAAAAACATACTGCACATACCAGCTGCAACAGCATTAATCAAACATCAAAATTTACAAAACCAATCACATTTGACGCACTTTTTCCATTTACCGTATTTAAACGATTCTACCGCGCCCTCGATTGTAACGTGCACTCGGTTTTCACGACGAAAAAAAAAAAGTAAGACATCGATTGCAACGCGCACATATTTTTTTCGTTGGCCCGCACGATCACACTACTCGGGAAAACGACTCCTTTCAGGAGCGTCTTCCATTTAAATATGAGGTACGGGGGAAGCTTGTGCCTATCTGACGTGCAACGGAGCATTGCCGTCACCCTTGTTTTTACCGTGGCCCGATGTCAGCATGCGAACTTGCTTCGCCCCCCTCTTCTCGACGGTTGTGGTGCCAGGCATGTCGCAGTAAAGAGGCGTCTGATCGGCATTCCCGATTTGCCGAAGCAGGTAGCCGTTGTGCCGCAAGTTTAGGACGAAGCTCTGAAAACTGTGAAGCTTTTCTTCGTAGTCCTCCGGCAAGTTTTGGCGCATGCCCGTTCGCTTTTGGGGGGAAAAGCCTTTCCTCTTCATAAAGTTAGTTAGCCAGCACCTGCTCGCTGTGAACTGGCTCCGCGTTAGCCCTTTTTCTAAAGCTAACTGCATAGCCCGCACTTAGAGCAGTTCTGTCGTCACGGGCCGCTGTGCCGCTCGCTGCTCAAGCACATACTCGGCGAGCAGCTCTTCAATTTGCGGAAACCGACCCTGCTGTGGTCCACTGAAGCTTTTGCATGAAGCTTTGACAATCTTCTGCTTTTGTTTCCGCCAGTCCCACACGCACGTTTCGGGAACTCCAAACGACCGCGATGCGGCCCGATTTCCGTCTGTTTCGGCACATGCGATGACTTTTCTTTTAAAAGCGGCATCGTGGTGCACTCGTCGAGTTTCTGGAGTCGGCCCTTCCATGCCGTCGATGCTAATGAACTACAAGATGACGAACTCCTCAGCACACGTACGAAGTGCCGCACATGGGAAACACATAGGCAGAAATGGCTGATGCGCTATGCCGAAGCACGTAGGGGGCGGCCATTTAAGAAATGCCGATGGCAATAGAATAACCGTATTCATTTTTTTTTTTCCGCACTCGATTTTAACGCGCACGCGATTTATAAACTTGCTTAACCGGAAAAAAGGTGCGCGTTAGATTCGAGTAATTACGGTAAGCTCAAGAGATTTACGTTTACAGAAAGTCTCCTGCAATAGCGGTACTAACGAACATGCGTACCTCCTCCTGCTCCATTATTTGCTCCTTGAGCTTTTCGATGAGCTGGCTCTGGCGGTCGATCTCATCATCCTTTTCATCCAACTGGGCATACAGGCGCGTGCGCTCCTCCCCAGCCAGGGGGTCAACCTTGGCTGCTGCTGCCGTGGCTGCGGCGGCAGTGGGTGTGGTGCCTCCCACTGATAGCGTGCTGGCCGAAAGGTTGGTTGCCGATGCTGTCTCCGATAGGCTCATGGTGCTCGTCTCCAAGTCCTTCAGCTGCTCGTCCGTTGGTACACTTTCACCTGTGGGAGCAGGTAGGTGCTTGTAAAAAAAGTAACCCAGTAACTTCAGGAAGAACATGCCTCGACAAAGTGGCTTTGAATAAAGGAAAAGAAAGAAAAAAGTGCCCCGCCGCAAGTGTCTCTTGCGCATGGGTGGACACCTCACCAGCACGACACAGGGGATGGCATAATGGGAGCAGAAGATAGAGAAAAAACAGAGATAAGAGAAACAATAATGAAGTGATAATCAGTTGGTCCGCCTCCCTCCACACGGGCCCAAGCCACTTCAATGCGCAGTCGACTGAAAAAGTTGCCGAGAAGGCCGGTGAAAAAAAAAATTCGCTGCAAAAAGAAAATCGGAAGGCGGGTATAGAGTGAGTGAGGGCACGAAACAGGCATTAGAAAAATAGTCTGTTTCCTTCAAATACAGTCGCCGACCGATTTTCCGGACTCCAAAAATTTGGACTTGTTGGATATTCCGGACTTCATAAATGCATTGTCAGGGATCCCATAGAGCTAATGTATTGTTTCGACCGATTTTTCGGGCGAATTTGCCCCTGAAAGTTCGATTTTTCGGACTAAATCGCTCGTTTTGTGCCACGCCCCAAGCCATTGTGAACGCCGCCATGTTGGATTTTCCGTCGGCTTGGCTAAGCTTGGTCTTCAGATGTTTTTCCTGCCTCCGAGATTGGAATGCGCACGCCATATTTCAAGTTTCGGAGGCCGTGTTTGCTTTTTAAAAGACGCGGTGATGGATGCCGTTTTTTCGTCTTCAGTCAGCACTATCGTCATCACATCGCACGGGGAGGAGGCGAAAGAAGGATTCTTTTATTGTCGTTGCAGCTTTTGTCAGTCGCCATTCTGCACGTGTTGTGTCGCGTAGCGTCGAGACGTTGTGTGCTTCGCAGCGGCTACCTGCGGCATCGAATTTTGTGTTCTCGGTGCCATGGCTCCGCCATCTGTGCCATCGCGGGAGCCAGGCGGTGTGAAGAAGCGTGGTAAGTATACGACCCTGACGCTGGAGAAGAAAGCTGCTATAATCAAGTTAATAGAGAGTGGACGTTCGCAGCTAGATGTCGCCAAAGAATACCACCTCTCCAAGCAAACGGTATCCGACTATGTCAAAAACCGCATTAAGATTTTGACAGCGTTCGAGAATTCACACAACAAGAGCCAAAAGAACGACAGTTAGGGCGTTCATCCAGCCGTTGAAGAGGCTCTGCAGTTGTGGCTTAAAGGAGTTTTGGCAAAGAACCTGCCCGTGTCGGGAGATTTGTTAAAAGAAAACGCCGAGTCGTTCGCTCTCAAAATGGGCATTGAGGATTTCAAATTTACGGACGGATGGCTTCGTGGCTTCAAGAAGAGGCACGGAATTTTGTTCAAGAAAGTGAGCGGTGAAAGCGGAGCGGTGGAGCAGACTATTGTGTCCGATTACCGTGCCACGAAGTTGCAAGCCTTGCTTAAAGAATACGCTCCTTCGGACATATTCAACTGTGACGAGACGGGACTTTTCTTTAAGATGCTGCCAGATCGTACCCTATCATTTTCGGGGGATTCATGCGCCGGTGGGAAGCTCAGCAAGGAGCGCACAACAGTCATGGTAGGTGCCAACGCCACCGGTACGGAGAAACTGCCTCTTCTTGTTATTGGGAAGGCGAGAAACCCGAGGTGTTTTAAGGCTGTGAGAACCCTCCCTGTTGAATACGAGAGTAATTCCAAGGCATGGATCACTCAGTCCTTGTTTGAAAATTACGTACGCAAACTTGACCGCAAGTTTGCGCGACAGAGCAGAAAAGTAATCTTTTTTGTGGACAACTGTGGTGCGCACGGTAGCGTGCCGAACCTTGAGGCCATTCGGCTAGAATTTTTGCCGCCTAATACCACAAGCGTGCTCCAGCCAATGGATCAAGGCGTGATCCGAAACATCAAGGTACACTACCGTGCCCGCCTGCTCAGCCGCACCGTCTTGTGCCTTGACAATGGGAAGGCCTACAAGGTTGACATTCTGGCCGCCATCCACATGTTAGCCGAAGCTTGGAAGGCAGTGAAGCCAGATACCATCGCGCATTGCTTTAGGCATGCCGGGTTCACTGCTGCTGAAGAGTCCGAGGCGGATGACCCGGACGGCACCGATGGCGGGGAGGACCTAATGCGCGACCTGCGCAGCGTAGGAGTGAATCTACCAGCCACAATGACATTTAAAGACTTCACTCGTGCGGACGACGACATTGTTTCGTGCGCGGAGGCCACTGACGACGAAATTCTTCGCCAGGTTGTCCCGGAGCCGGAGAGCGGCTCGGATGACGACAATGACGACCGCCCGCAGCCGTCGGCAGCGGAGATCGCCAACGCGTTGACAATTTTGTCGAGCCTTTACGGCGACGACGTCACCTTGGCCCAAATACGGGCAAACCAAATTGCCTTCAAGCGTAGTTTGAGGCAAGGCAGCATCAAGGACTTTTTTAAACCTGCCTGATGCAATAAACTTCAGATTTTTGGCGAAAACGAATTTTTCGGACTGTTCGATTTTTCGTACTTTTTTTCGGTCCCTGCCAGGTCCGAAAAATCGGTCGGCGACTACTATATTAGTGGTTTCCAGCCTTAGGAGTTTCAGGGACCCCTTGTGTAAGTGGCGGACTCCATCAGAGACGGAGTGAGTGTCTAGCTCCCTTGTTTGCCATGTTGTAAGAAAAATGAGAGTGTATTTACGAAATCGAATTAATACTGGTTTGTTGGCATGCATATCAATACTATAACTGCTCTATTCTGTTTTGAAGGCCCAATTCGCGATCAGCTTGCTTGTGCACGCTAGGGCTTCACGAATCCTTATTTACAAACAACTGCCATTTATTACACTTCAGCTAACAAGTTTTGTGCTCATTTTTAGTAGTACTATCTGCATTGTGGAGATGCGCAGGACATGGTGATCAGAACAGGATGCACAATAGATAGCAGCAAGGATAAAAGTGAATGCTCAGGGTTATCATGAGAGTCTTATTTGCACAACATACCTGCACGTACAAATTACATCGAATGCAAGTTCAGAGTTGCCATATTTAACAAGCAAGCTCTGCCTATTTAATTACTATTCGAACTTGCAGGTCACATTATTGAAAGACCATCTACATCACTCTTATCCTCTAGTCACCAAATATGTCTATTGTAATCAGTACGATGTAGTACTTGAGTGTCCAGAATTCTTCCAACTGGGCAAATAAAAGTAAGTACTTTCTATTTGTATTTTTGTGTACTTATTTATATAACAGAGGGGGTTTCACTGAGCATAATCACAATGTTAACTTTGTAGCATCTGCGAAATTGAGTAATTAAGTCTATTTCCTTTTTTTGTTTTTCCACTTATAGGCCTGTTTTTTGAAACTGTGTAGTATTAAACATCCTACTATACCATATTGTTGTACTCTGGCATGACCTAACCAGCTGAACTGTTCAAAATACAAGATTCAATATTCTGCTTTAGCATGTAATCACGGTAAGCTCTATCACAAGTTTACCTACTCTACATCTTGACTTGACACCAACAAATGTAGGCTCCTGTACCAGTAAGTCTGAGACTGCTATTATAAAAGAATAGAACAAGAGGAGGAGACAACTGCAAGGCCCAGGCTTTGCCCAAAATGGAACAGGCACGTCATCGGGCCCTCACCATTGCGCCAGCGACTCAGCTCAAACTCCGCTCGACTCAGCTGGCCTTTGAGCTTCGCCACTTTCTCACGCTCCTTGTCAAATCGCCGTTTCCATTCTTCGGCAGTCAACTCTTCGTTGACAATCACAGTGTTCTTGATCGTCTTGGCCCTGCGTACCAGCAGCCACACAGTGCTCACATTATAACAATATGCCTATTTGTGAAACGTGAGAGACAACACAGATGGTAGGGAGTGAACAAAATGTGGCACGAGGGCTCTACAAGTGCAAGCTCACGCGTTATGTATTACATTAAGCCAGTCCAGAAGCACAGTTGATTTGAATCATTTCGATCCAATGGGGACACAAAGTTTTCATTATCCGAAGCTCACAGAAGTTTCTGCGACTTGAAGCTCAATGATATATAATAGAGTGTGAAACTGCAATTTACTGCAGAAAATTGTGCACACATAAAACAAGGTGCTATGGGACAAGACTGCAAAAGTTAGGTTCTGGTAAAAAGAATAAAGTAAAATGAGGTGATTGTTTTTCATTAGTTGCAACATCAAGTCAACAGACAATGAAGCTAAGAAGAGCATGTGAGAAATTAACTAGCATTCTTTCAACTGATATTGTAGAATATGTAAAGAGGAACAAATGAAGCACAGACAAGAGAATAGAAAGTAGACATTGTTTTACAAGCCGTAACGTCAGTTGCCGACTTGCCGTAGTTGTGCATTCTGAATGACAAAGCCGCAAGTGAGTGACTGGGCTCGTGGCTCTCATGTCCAGCAGTGTGCATCAACATACATGGAAACATTAAGTATAATGTGAGGGTGTGTTTTGACTACCAGCAGTAGTGTCCCATGGCTACCCTCTCACAAGTAAATTGCGCTGCTTTGCCACAAGATTCAAGTGAGTTAAAATTTGTGCATAGCCTTGTACGAATTAAGCAGCATCAAAATGCAATGAAATACAGATTGGCATACCAGAAATTATGACAAGCGATAGCAGTTTTTATACTTATTATTTCATTATTAATTGCATAAAGAAGTAAACGTTCCCTTAATCAAAATGAAGAGGTTACATGAATGATAACTAATGCCATCTGCCAATTAACATAAACAAAGTCAATGTCAGCATTGCTTTTCCGCTCTTAACACTTACGTTCATTACATGTCTTCACAGTACAACCTAGAAGGGCAGGTGCAAAAAGAAAGTGCTGATACATTTGTTCGCTAGAATAGAGCGATACCTTATTAGATGCGCTGGAGAGGCAGACATTTCTCATCATCATCATCATCAGCCTGACTACGTCCACTGCAGGACAAAGGCCTCTCCCATGTTCCGCCAGTTAACCCGGTCCTGTGCTTGCTGCTGCCAATTTATACCCGCAAACTTCTTAATCTCATCTGCCCACCTAACCTTCTGTCTCCCCCTAAGCCGCTTCCCTTCTCTGGGAATCCAGTTAGTTACCCTTAATGACCAGCGGTTATCCTGTCTACGCACTACATGCCCGGCCCATGTCCATTTCCTCTTCTTTATTTTAACTATGATATCCTTAACCCCCGTTTGTCCCCTAATCCACTCTGCTCTCTTCTTGTCTCTTAAGGTTACACCTACCATTTTTCTTTCCATTGCTCGCTGCGTCGTCCTCAATTTAAGCTGAACCCTCTTTGTAAGTCTCCAGGTTTCTGCTCCGTAGCTAAGTACCGGCAAGATACAGCTGTTATATACCTTCCTCTTGAGGGATAGTGGCAATCTACCTGTCATAATTTGGGAGTGCTTGCCGAATGTGCTCCACCCCATTCTTATTCTTCTAGTTACTTCAATCTCGTGGTTCGGCTCTGCGGTTATTACCTGCCCTAAGTAGACATAGTCTTTTACAACTTCAAGTGCACTATTACCTATTTCGAAGCGCTGCTCCTTTCCGAGGTTGTTGTTCAATACTTTCGTTTTCTGAAGATTAATTTTAAGACCCACCTTTCTGCTCTCCTTGTCTAACTCCTAAATCATGAGTTGCAATTCGTCCCCTGAGTTACTCAGCAATGCAATGTCATCGGCGAAGCGCAGGTTACTAAGGTATTCCCCATTAACTCTTATCCCTAACTGTTCCCATTCTAGGCTTCTGAAAACTTCCTGTAAGCACGCGGTAAATAGCATTGAGACATTTCTCACCTCTTGCCAAACTCTAGCGTAGACTTGGTTTCACACTCGTTGAAGGATGCTGGAGAGCAGCAAATGATGATCGTTGTCCGAGAGTTACCTCCAAGACTCTCTTGCAGAATTCTTGTTAGCTTACTGTCTCGATAAGGGATGTGAGATTTCTGCAAAGTAAAATGAACAGTGACAATTTCAAAAAATGTTGTTCACCATCTCACTCTCAGCACAGCATAGTCATGAAACGTTTTACCAGGAGTTGAAATCAGGTGCACATTGCAGTACGATGGAAAATACCCAGTAAGTCTCTACACCGTTACCGTCACTGAAAAGGCACTTTGACTAGCTTAATTTAAGACTAAGTCACATCTGCTTGCTTCTTTCAATAAGACGAATGCCCAAAATTAATTCATAAGAGGTTAAAGCCCCCTGATATGCTGCTGAAAGTAACCGCATGCATTTGGTACTTTTATCAGCTTTTTTTTACTACTCATAGGTATAGTTCTCATGAGCAAAAGTGTGAATAGACGAGTACATACATTGCATTGCTTTTATTTACAGTTCTCGTAATTATATGGTCTGTGTGTACAATCTTTTGTCTCATTTCCAGACACTGAACGTTTGTGCTGTAAGCATGACATGACTGCATCACATTCATGTGACCACAATACAATTTCCTATGGCTTGTATATGATAAAAATGAAAAGGACAGCAAGACCAGATGCAGCCTGGTGAGTGCCTTTAGAAATTGCAGGACGCTTGCCTGCCACAAAAACTAGGGTGTAGGATAAGCTATGATAGATGATTGATATGTGGGGTTTAACGTCCCAAAACCACCATATGATTATGAGAGACGCCGTAGTGGAGGGCTCCGGAAATTTAGACCACCTGGGGTTCTTTAACGTGCACCCAAATCTGAGCACACGGGCCTACAACATTCCCGCCTCCATCGGAAATGCAGCCGCCACAGCCGGGATCTGAACCGACGACCTGCGTGTCAGCAGCCGAGTACCATAGCCACTAGACCACCGCGGCGGGGCATATAGGCTATGATAGAGAAGACTGCAGAGTCATAAATAATAGCAAAAGAAACAAGACTGAAGAAATCGCCAGCAAGTTTGCTGGGAGTGCTGTAAAAGAAATGACAGAGCTGAAGCAGACTCGAAAAAAGTTAAATAAAGCAAAATATAGCAAGACCTTAACGAATGGCATTCTCTTTCTATAGCACATTTAAAATTCTAAAAAGATTATTTAAATTAAGATGGGTACATCAGCGTAAAGCGTTTGCCTGTTCCAACAAGCTCTGTGCAAGAATGCTTCAGATAGGCTGAAGCACATCTTCTATTAATTTTTTTTTGTCAGTTACAACGATCGTCTCTTTTTTTTTTTTCTTTTACTGGAAAAATTCTATACAGTGTTTTTCTAATAGCCCTGAACAAATCTACAGCATGGAACAACAAGCACTGAGTTACTCTTTATTAATGCAAACCCAAAATAAAAAACACACACATCATCACACTATACACAATCATCTCACTAATGTGTTTCAACTAACACATTAGTGTATAGCTCTGAATTAATTTTTGTGACCTGGTCTTTCAAAGTTCACATGAATCAATGTCCTCATGGGAATGTGTTAAACAGAGCCTGATATTACTTCCCAATAACCTTGTACATTATGCCACGACCACCACATACGATGGGTGTATATTTTCTGTACATTCACCATGAGGGTCCCTGTCACAATGCACGTTCCAAAGCCTTTTGTTTATTTGAGCAGTGTGCTGGATTAAACATGGTAATCAAAAAAGCCATCGCAGTAAATCTGCCTCTGCTACTGTAACAGACTTCGAAGTACAAAAAAGCAGCCGGAGGAGAGTGACAAGCTTATTTTAGAAAGGACTTACGTTTCCATCGGCAAGTGCTGCAATGACATTGCCCAATGCAGACAGAGACTTGTTGATGTTTTTTGCTTCATCTAGAACCATGCCCTCGGCTCCGGTTTTGCTGACCTGTAAGAGCAACACATGCAGTTTAAATGTTGTACATTACTGCCTAGCAGTGATTGTGCCCCATTGTAAGAGAAAGCCTTTCTTTCTCTCTAGTCAGCAAATATTTTACGCTGAAATAGACAAGAATTATGGCCATAATACTATGTGAGCTATTAACAGCAGCTGCTTTCTTGTCAGAAGATGCAAGAACCTAAAATGCGTCATTGCTGTGACCAAAGTTCAGAAGTTTTTCTGGGCAAGGTTTGTTCTGGAATTTTACACCTCATTCCTGACCAAAATGCAGTCACTAATAGGGGCTGCTGAGGTATGGCAACAGGGGTACAATGGGGGGAAGGGCACACTCATGCTTCTGATGCTTGATAATTTATGTGTGCTGGACAAAACTTTCACATGCTTCCATTAGACTGTAATTGTCCTGTACACACCAGAAAAACAATCTTTTGCCAATATACTATTCAGAGAAGTGAATTGGGAATGTTTAGAAAAAAGGAAAGCCATCTGTGGGTATGGCCAGTGTACCTTTTCACTGCCAGCAAGGTCTACTAGGTACAGCTTGCCACTGAGCTTTTTCTGGTCGTCCAGGTTCTCCTGCTTGACGTTGATTAGGAACACACTGTGGCTTCTGGAACTGTGCTCGTTCATGTCTGAAGGAACAAAAGTGTACAATTGCTGAATAATGCAGAGAATCCACCCCCCCCCCCCCACCCCACCAAATCAAGCTTTCCAGAATCCTTCCCACAAAGTATAAAATGTGCCCTAAAGAAAGACAAATACCCCAGTCAAAATCATTAGTTATAATGCCTTCTCTTTTGCTTCACCACCAGTAATTAGTGAGGAATTTAAGTTGTTGCAATTCTGCATCTTCAACACACAACACGTAGAAACACCATGCAAACACCCCTAAAAATGAGCCCTTCCTCATTGTCGCGTAGGTTGGCCAAAGCTCACTTGTTCCATTTTATTTTTGGAGCACTTGTACAAACATGGCCAAATCGCAAACACTACAATTCTGTGCACCTAAGATGAGCTAAAGGTGTAAATGTGGTAGATTTCTTGTCTTGCTCGAGAAAAGCAACCCTACAAAATATAAATCTTTTTTTTTGTTTTATAAGAGGGCCTTGTGCTGCTATAGATGTAGCTGTCATACTATGTTGGCAAGCTTCATGAACAAACCCCATTTCTGCCCCGTTTCTAATATTGACAGACATACATATGTTTCTTTGCCACAAGAGACAGCATCCAGGAACACAAAATATACTTTTCAGCTTCAGATATCATAAAGTGCTAACTACTTCATTAATATTCACGTCTCAAAGTAAACACAGGCAGCTTCGTTAACTGATCACATTTTAGAAAATTGCAGAACCAAGAATTTTCGCGTAAAGCATATCTAAAGTGGCTCACTTGTTACAGCAATGTGTCGGTTTGCTTTGCCTTCGTCAATGACTTCCATCACTTCTTCAGGACTGGTGACAAACCTCTCAGTAGCACCCTAATGATTGGAAAAAAAAGGCAGTTATAACGTTAAATCTGTCTGACCGCAAAACAGACTTACTTATTCTGACTCTTCAAGAAATACTGTTTAGTAATGAACATTAGTGCTGACTTTTGATGGAACCTTCTAAAACTTGAGTCACGTTGCCATGAATGTTAACTGAAGTGTTACGTTTAGAAGAACGCAGATAAAGTCAAGAAATTATTCTTTCTTTGCAACTAATGTGGTCACTCGTCTCGCGACAAGCAGCCGTTCAATTCGTTCCCTCGTTTCTTTCTGCACATATGTTGCATGTGCACTCGGAGCTTAGATTTTGCTCTTATAACACTGCAAGCACTTTCAGGTTTAGAGGACAAGCGCTAGATGGAGGCAACGGAATATGTGGGTACATAACTCACCTTGACAAATGGAACTCTGTTCTTGTCTTCATGAACGGACAAGTTTGTCTTTGTAACTGAAAGGAATTGTCAGAATGCTTCTCAGCATAAAATAGACACATGGATCTTCTTTATTTCTACACACAGCAATGTTGTCACTTGACAAGAGTGCCCATAAAAGAATTAAAATATAAGTAGCGCAACAACAGTAGCTTACCATCAAGGAGATCACGAATCTTGTCAAGATAAATTTCAAAGTAAGACACCTGCAGGAAAACAAGAAATATGAGGCTGTGAGCCTATCATATCATACTAGCATGAGAACACAATTGTTTGGATATGCATACCAGTAAATTTTAAACTATTCACAAACTGCAAGAAATAATTAGCCATGCATAATAAACAGTAAACTAGCCATTTGTCGCAAATGGTTCTCCCCATCTTGTGTGCAACGATGAAGCTCAGTGAAACACACGAAACCCTACTTACTACAGAATGTCTAGAAAGTTGCTTAATATTCACCATTAATGTTTGTAATGAGTTAAAAGTTCTCAATGTAATGAAGCAAGCAGCACGTCCATGTCGGTCACTTTATTTCATGCACTATCGTGCCACCACATTATGCAAATGTCAGAAAAGAACCAAAAGTGCACTTCCATTATCACATTCGACAGCAGGTAACAGTGTAGAGTGAGTGAGTGAACGTGAGCATTGACGTGCAAGCATGAGTGAACATTGAATGAATATTGACATGCATTCATCATGCAGGCATACGTGCGAACACTGAGCTCTAGCCAGTAATCTACAAAAGGTGAATCTTTAATATATATGTTTAGCTTTCGGGCAAGGGTGTGTTCTGTGCTTCAGTAACAGTGTGAACAAACGACACACATTAAACTAAGCAGACTAAAAGTCGTTCTGTTTTGTTCTTTCCCACTTCATTCCAGAATTCTGGCACATACATGAGGCAGTCCTAGATAAGTAACATTGCCAATAAAATGTTTATTTATAGCTTCCAACAGGAGCACTGACTTTTGATACGTGTGTGCCCAGTTTACTTGTTTTGATTAATACATTTTGAAAAACATAGACGTGATTGTCGACTAAAAGACCTGGAAAATTTTTATTTGCTTCACTATATCCGATAATTCACTATATCAGTTAATCTAATATCAAGGTTCAACAGTTATAAGAGAAAAACGCCAGGCCTGCGCAGACCATGCAGCACAGTCACAACGAAAGCTAGAAGATTGACCTTTCAGAGCCTTTTCTAAACACTCTTTGGGTAACTGCTACAATTGATTGCAACCACTATGCCATAAATAATCATAATGTTTGTGTATTAGGCCAGCATTCACCATGCCATCTCTCGTAATTTTTTGGAGAAGCGTGGTATCCGTTACACACTTGTTAGGAATTGTGTGCAATATTTTATGCAGTGGCTGACGATGATCAAGAATTATGCCTGAAGTAGGTATGCGCCGAAGTTTATACGTGATCAAGAACAAGTTTTCTAGTGGGTTGGAGCATTGGACTACCCACTCATTACACAATTCACATTGTGTGACACCTGACTGTTCCTTTGATATTCTAAAATGCTTTATTACTCATATTAACGAGATTCCCTTGCAAACATCAAGCCTGCCCAAGGACAGTTTAGAAACGAGTTCCAAGAACTGGCATAGCTCAGTGGTAGAATAATGGGCTGGTATGTCGTGGACCCGGGTTTGAATCCCATTGTGTAGGTAATGTTTTTTATTTATTGAGCCTTTTCTTTCAAGACTGGTTACGGACACCGGCGACGACGGACAACTACAGCGCCACGCGAGACCTGTGTTCTGATCTCATAACAGATTTCATTGTAAAAGGGTGGGGGACTGACATGGAGAGAAAATAAAACATGAGCAAATACAAACCTTTATATGGAACTCAATATTTTCATCCATTGAATAAATGTGATTAAAAATATCGTTAATGATCCGGGGTATGATGCCTTGGCTGTAGGAATCTCCCAGAACGCCCTGCGAACAAAAGCAAATCAAATCGTCATGGGATTCAGACTTACGTTACACAAAAAGAGAACACTTAAGACCGCCACTTTTCTACTTCTACATGTTGGAGTGTCTACGAGGCTACTAATGCTTTTTTATCAATTCCAAGACATGCCTTCCAATGTAAGACCACTCCAGTGGACTACCTGCCACCATGGCTACGAGCAGGCCAGTGTATTGCAACTTGCAAGTAACAATGAGAATCGGCAGCATTACACCACAGATGTAGGCGGTGTGATATGACACCGAACATATTAGTAGGGCCATCATTGTGCAACCAGATGAGGCAAGCAGTATCATCAATACAACCAAGCTGTATCCCTTTTTGGTAGAAAAAGATGTGTATTTAATCTCATGGAACTGTACACAGAATTTCCAGGCATTATGATGAGCTGAGATGGGATTCTATAGAAACCAGAGTAAAGGCATGACTCTTACACCCCATGCAAAGCAAACCCAAGCTTACTTCACCTAAAGGACTTTCAGATTACCAATAGTTCTATTAAAGCATAAACATTTCCTGCTAACTACTGGTCCTTGCCTTTGCTGGTTTGGCACCATTCATTGGTTGATACGCAGACTGGAATAACAACAAGTGAACCAAAGTTATTAAAGGGTAAGTAAGGTATTAGTAAGTAAACTGTGCGTCAATCTAAGGAAGGGCTGCCGAGTCACTTCCTTGTGAGCTCAACAACTCCAAATGCTGGAGTAGATATGGCCCCAAATTTCACTTTGTATGCAAACCCAATGCTCTGCAAGAATTCATTTTTATCCCTCTCCTATGATCCATAGTCCTTGATTAGAATTGAACAGGCAAAGAGCTGGTCAGATCTCTGTTCAACCATACAGAAATACAGAAAATAGTGGAATTTTCATGTTCAGCCTATTAAACTAGGATTATTGGAATCATCAAAAGTTAATATTATGAGCTCTGAGCACAGGCAATATTCAACTCTTTGCGGGAATAAGGAACTGTCTGCATCTTTCGGTTGTGCATGTGTTCACACATAAGAGAGTACATGCACGTATCTGTAATATTAGCAGCACGTATCACGCTCAGGTTTCATAAGTTATTCGAGTTCAATACTAAAGTGAACTAAACTTGACAAGTGTATACTGCAGAAACAGCAGCATACATACAAAATAAAAACATATGCACAATATTACTATCTGGATCTACTGCATGCTTTGATTCATGCTGTATCCATTCATCACTAAAGGTACGTGAACAGAGTGCATATCCAAAAAGTTTGCTAGACCAACACAGAATGGGACACTTTTAAACCTACAAGTACAGGGCACCAAAAGAATGTGCTAAGTACCATACAATACCAGCTAGCCCCAAAAGGGAGCTTTTAGCGTTTTTCACAAAAACTGTGAGGCATGCTTCATTATTTTAGGGTATTTCAACAAAGCCTTGAATGTGACCTGTACTAAATGAGTTACAGGCAAACAAATACTGATACTGCCATGGCTTTGCAGCATTCCTGCCGTCTAGAACTATCTTACTGCATTTGACGTAGCCCCATCATTACCATGAAGAACAACACCCCCGTGCTCTGCAACTCTTAGCACTAAGCACAGTTCACAGCCTTCATTGCATTCTCTGATATTGGGAGTCGTGGTGCCCGAGCAGTGTTCGCGCTGCAGGATGGTCTTAGTTCAAAGTGTAATGTCACTGGAGAATTCGTCCTCCAATATCAAATAATGAATGCCACTTTGAATTATCAGTATGATTTATCAGCACTGCCTATTGCACTATATATATATTTTTTTCAAATGAATGTGCTATGAACTTTTCAAGTAGTTACTCTAGGTTAAGAAAACATAGGCCATCCTAAAACCAGAGTCCACAAGAAATGGTTAGTACATTGATGGCACAAACCTTTTGGCAGACTGTCACTGGCTTTCAACAAACTATCTTTTGAGCATAAATCAGAAGCAGGGTACTGATTTTACCAATTTTTGTAAAAAAGAGTTGCCAGGTTACCTTATGTGAACTGTAATGAAGATTGCTATCTCTTCTTAAAACTACAAATTTCTTTGATTGTAGCATGTAATAATTTTTTAAAATACTTAAACTGCAGCTACGTACTACTACAAACCTGAAAAGAGCAAGCATTCAAAAATTTATGTACCAGGATCAAACATCATTATTTCTTAGTTAACATACTTTTCCATTTATACATGCACATGTATACATCGTATATATCTATCTTTTATGTTAACCAGTATGCTATCTCCTTATCTTGTTTGTATGCTACTCTAAATATCTCTTCTCATTATGCATGCTTGCATAAGGCACCTTCAGGCTGAATTTTCCCACTCTGCAACTGGGGTGAATGCCAACTGTTATGTTGGATGTAAAACTGTCCTAATTCTTGAAGTTTATAATCCTCAGCACTAAACTTTTTTTTTTTGTTACTTCTCGAAGAATTTACAAGTGTGTGGCAGTCAATGCTCTTATACCAGAAGACAGGGCCACGACTGCGGTGAAGCAGCTATGTGGATCTCAAAATTGGGCATTTGGAATGAAAAGTAGCAGTGAAGTTGCAAAGATCAGAAAAAGAATTAGCGTAGTGTAGACTATAATGACAATACTACTAACAATGGGACAGTAGATTAATAGAACAAGGTGCCGACTATAAATACATATGTTTCTTAACTGAATATATAAGAGTGCATATAACAGAGAAAACAAGCAGAGAACTAAACCACAAACACATGGAGAAAACTATAGGTGTTGTTTTTCTGCATGTACAGGAATAGTATGTGGCTCAGTTAATCAGGAGAGTGATGATTAGCAAGCTAAGGTAATTAAAACATGTAGTTGAAGAACTCGCTTAGGCACTGCCCAAAAGCCCCGTTATAAGCCTCATCAATGACTGAAATTGCAAGTAATGCAGTTTAAAGGGGCCGTGAAACTACCTTCCAAGGAACCATCGAGTGGCTTCATTAAAGGAGCTTATTGTGCCATTAATTGACCACTACGAAAATTTTTTTAGAATCGGTCAAGCACGAGCAGAGTGATTGATTTGTTGCAAACTGTAATTGGTTTCTTCTTTTTTTCTTTGAACGCACGAGGGCATGTGGCGGCCTCCCGCGGCGGCCACAGTAACTATGCAACGCACGACGCCCAAATCAGCCCACCGCCGTACACTTGCGCATGCGGCGCAGTCATTTGGGTATCTGGCCCTGCCTGCACACGGAAGAGGGAAAGATTTTCAGCAGACTTCAAGAAATTAATTGTTAATTGCAGGCCACGCGCCGTGCCGTGATGTTCGGCTCGTGTGTTCTCAGGAGCTTCGACTACCAGTCGGCAGAATTTTCTGAGCACGCTGACTAAGCACAATAAAGCATTTGAACAAATTTGGCTACGCTGAAGCAAATGGCTACGCAATTTGGCTACGCTGAAGCCAGCGGCCAATCCGCATACGTCACAAGGACGCCACGTGGCCGGGTCAGTGAAACTCTTTGTAAAAAAAAAAAGGCGTCGTTCAACCGTTGCTGGCCATCGAGTCGCTCGTGAGGAGCACCCACGGAGGTCCAACAGACGTACGCATGACACGCAACACCGTATAAAGCTACAGCGGGGCGGTCCAATGAGAAGTGCCCACCTCCATTGTGTGCGTCTTCCCGCTGGAAGTCTGGCCGTAGGCGAATATGGTTCCATTGTAGCCCATGAGCACATCTGCAAGGAGAGAGAAAAAGAAACAATCGGCGAATGGACGAGATGCGAGACAAACAACGTATAGTACATGTGCCGGCAGCGCATAGCCGCGTCTTCGACCATAACGCGGCGCAGCATAAAAGAACGCAATTACGGCACAACAAAAGGGCATTTGCCACGGACGGTTAACAAAAAAAAAAACAAAGGAACGCGGCTAAACATACGCTGTTTAGAGAAATGTTGGAAGGGCTAGGGAGAAATAAAAACAATGCATGCCGGACAGTGCACTGCAGAGTGAGCACGCGCGCGCGCCTTCTCACCGCGTCTATGGCGGGAAGGAGTCATGCAGGGACTCCTTCCCGCCGCAGGAATCAAATTGATCGCCGCTACTATATATTTGTCCTTCGATACGTGCTCGACACCAAGAAAAACATTCGTGACTCAAGCACGTTACATTTTCTGTAGCGAGCACGACACACGCGGATATATATATATATATATATATAATATATATATATATATATATATATATATATATATATATATATATATATATATATATATATATATATATATATATATATATATATATATATATACACACGAACTTTATAGGAAAACATTTAATAGACGTACTTGTACATCCCAGTGATATATGCACGCTGAAATATCTATACATGCCACTGCAATAAATCGAGCAGTTTGTGCCATTGAGCTGTATCTGTCATGGACGACAGAAAGAGGCGATCGGGTGGCCTACGGTACTACGTCCTCGAGCAGATTCCCACGTGCGCTGAAGCCACCACACACTACCGCCACAGAGTATGTTGTGCACTGTTTACTCCATTGGTGTAAATGCGTACCACTTTTGCATATATTCGCAGGTTCGGTTCCTGCTCACGGCAAGTTATCTTTTCACTCACTTTTCTTTCTTCACATTTACATTACAGTTGGGTCTAATAACTTCCCCTATACATTCCTTGGCATTATTTAATATTGTGTCAAAACACGGGAAAACGAGCTCTTAAGTATACACTTGTTTCCCTTATATATATATATATATATATATTCCAAGAGGGCAGGATTTTGCAAGGATAGGTCCGACTACTGCCAGTGCACCCTCAGCGCCATGCACTAAATATGCAAGATTCGACGCATGGCACACATGCGAACCAAGTGAAAACGAAACTGCGCACGGCAACCACGAGAAACGTGCGTCGCACGATCGCTGTATCCATGAAACGTGCGCATTCACGCGTCTGCACAAACAGCGCACTATACATACGAGACAGCCTAATTCGCCGGCGCCGAGCAAAACAGATCAAGGCTTATCATTACACTACACCGACTGGTCACTATCGCTCACGATCGAGCGTCGGAAACTCGGTGAAGCGTGTCGGGCGCGCGTTTGGCGGATGCTTGTAGTATACACCCTTCCCGATGCGCACCTCCCAGACTTCTCTCATCAAGAAGAAGAGATCGCCCCAAACGGCGAGAAGAGGTGTAAGCAAATGCCAAGTCTGTAAAGAGAATCGCCAGTTTAACCACGAAGCCGAAAGAAAAACGACCGGCGCGTGAATCAACGGGGGAAAAAAACGTACCGCTAATGAAAGCGAGCACGAGAGAGCGCGGCGTTCATATACAAGCGCGAACGATTATACATCGGTTCCTCCTCGCCACGACAGCTCGGGCGTCAACGATTTCTCACCTCCGAAAAAATCTCAAGCCGGCGCAACGTATCGACGACTTACTCCTTCGCTGGCCTCAATCCCCTTTCTCTCTCTGCAACTCGAAATCAGGCAAGCTCTGCAGTACTATATACGCCTTGCTCCTCGAAATCAGCCAAGCTCTGCAGTACTATATACGCCATGCACTGAGCTCCCACCCAGTGCAACCATGCAAGAAGAGACCCCCCCAGACAGAACACGAGCTCGGGGTATGCACACACACGTGATTGCGAAAGTAGCCGCGCGCTTGTTCGGCTGCAAACTTCTCTCGGCCAGCGCCGGCTTGAAAGAAAAAAGAAGTAAAAGAGCGCTGACGACCAGCGCCAATCAGAGCGTGCAGCCAGGCTGGACAGAGAGAGGGCGTCGGTGTTCGGGGAAAAACGCGTGTGCATGCGACCATGATGCGAGCGTGCGTGCTGCACCAGCGCATTTTTACGAGCAACAGGCGCACGCTGTGTGTGTGTGCACACAGTATATATACGCACATTTCACTGCGCGGGGCCGGAATTTCTTCGGCGCATGCATTCGTAAGAAAATGCGGAAGGAATTTGCGAGAAAGGGCGAACGCGATTGGGGAAATAACGGCGCGCGCTGCTTCGGGAGAAAGGAAAAGATGAGTACCGAAGCGGTGGCCTGATGGAACCAAACGAAGATGCGGTGTAAGACCGTATAACTTGGAACAATTGCTAGCTCACTTGCGAATAATAGAGTCAACGTCTTCAGTTCGCTGTCTCGGCAATCTGTAGCGCTATACGCGGGTGACGGCGTTCGCTTCGAATATAAAAAAAACTGTCTCGCACACGCTAAAGCGATTACTGAAATGGACAAACGCGGTATACAGCGAATACACGGTCGCAACCGAAACCATTCGTAAGCAATCAAAACGAGCACCACGTATAAGAAGACCAGACGTATACAGACACCACGTGCCCGATCACCTGACCGACTTGTATGAAGTACGTTTGACCCCGTTGTCTGCGAAACGAACGAGGCATCGCGCTTACATGAACGTTTTGTATAAACATACGGTGCAACGATCGACACCACGTCGGGCAGATCGTAGCGGCGGAGATGTAACCTAAAATTTTTCGACGTTGCTGAGTATGATGATATTTCGTGTCTTTGTTTAGTGTAATGCTAATACAAAAAACTATAGTTATTAAGCTTTCTGAACCATGCTCGCGTTTTATTGCAAACCGGTCCGGGTTCTTTACCACACTCCCGACGATAAGATTTAGTTGTTTCGTTACACGCGAACTCTAAAATTCCTCATTAGCCAGAGTAGTATTCCGAGACAGAAAGAGAAAAGGAGCGTGCAATTAGGCGTGCGTGGGTACACACACATTCAATTTCGCTCCTCACCTCCTCTGGCGGTAAGAGCAGACTTGCCGCTGTCGAACTCCCTCAAGACATTTGCAATGTTTCATAATCGCACGGACGGTCGCGTCGTTGTAGTTACGCAAGTTGTACCACAGTTTGTTTCCCCGGCACGTCGAACAAAAAGCCATTCGGACACTTTACTTCTTCCTCGAGTGCTAGTAATAGAAGCACCAAGGGCACGCAAGCACCGACAGAAAGCGAAAAAACCGAGCCTATCGGTGGGACGACGCATTACGACACCCCTGTCGCTGAGGCTAAGCTATATGGTACAGGTACGGCGACGATCAGAGTGATCGACACGCCCTAACCCTAAATGTGTGTATGGCAATGACAATGGGCGCCATAACGAAGCGCCACTACAATTTATTTTAAAACCAAAAAGAAACGTTGCGAAAGCGGCCACCTCTCTTTTCCCCGTTGCTGCAGTTTGCAGCTTGCCAGGGGCAGCGCGAGTACTAACGAGACGAATAATTCCGGTCGTTAAAAAAAAAAAAAAAAAGGAGCAGCCGCCACCGCTCTCTTCTCCTCGTGTCGTGCTGGGAGCCCAGACAAGGCTTAGGGCGACCACGTGCCGTCACGCCAAGCGCTCCTCCAAACTACGTAATCGACATTGCGCAAGCGCAGCCGCCACGCCGGCAGAGAGGAGCCAGGTGGAGGGCGAGGAGGGCACCTTTTTTCTGCCAGGGAAACCGCAGGTGGGCACGGCCGGCGCCAGCTCGCAGGTCTCGACAAATGAGCAGGCGCCGTACAGTTTCAAAAGGACCATAAATACACGTTGTGGCGCTTGAGTAAATGAATATATAGTAATCCATAAAGACACAGCGAAAGAATGGCTTTCCGGAGCTAGATGCTCACAGCGAGTTTTTTTTTTTTTCCTATTTCAAAACACATTAACACAACGCCATGAACAACAATAATTCCGGTCGTTAAAAAAAAAAGGAGCAGCCGCCACGCTCTCTTCTCGTGTCGTGCTCGGAGCCCAGACAAGGCTTAGGGCGATATATATATATATATATATATATATATATATACTCACCTGACCTGCCACAAAAGTTGGGGCGACAATATACACGCACAAAACGTAAACACTTCCGAAGGGAGGGATCCAACCTGGTTACATCACTGTCTCAACGCTCATATTTATTTCATTCCCAAGGCACCAATATGCCCAAATTACAAAAATTGCAGAAGAGACCAAGCTTTCTTGAACATTGCACCCGAACCACAGCCTCGCTGCTCAAGTGCGACTGCACGCACGCGGTTCGGAAGATGTCTCGTACCAGATACATTACAGAGCGAAAAAAAAAAAAGTCTCAAGCAACCCTTATCCACGGCTAGCTAAGTTATAATTTAGCGAAATCGTCTCTCTCTGAAGTATGTTCTTTGTTACCCTCTCGTATATGGGGGCACTTTCACGTAAGGAACAGAAATGCTAGTATCGTACTACCTAATTAATTTCAATGAAGGTCTTCATTTTTTTTTTTTTGCATATACCCCGTCAAAAATGAAGTCCAGAAAATAAGAGACCTGCACTACTGGAAAACACACGCAACTGTAGCACGACCACAGGAAGCTACGACAAACCCCTGTTCTTTAACCGAAAATGGCATTAGGTTGTGTGCCGCGACAGACAGTATTGCCTGTTTGATGACCCCTCCTTTCTCTTTCTCTGCGGGAGTGGGTGAGCGCGTGTGGCTACGCGGATTACGCAGTCTTCGAGCTGGCCTCTTCGCAAGGCGCGACGCCGAATGTGGCAAAATAAGCTCCGCGAAACCCCGCAAGGTGGCAAAATATGTTCAGGAAAGGTGATGAAAAATAGGACACTGTGGAATTAGAATAGATGTGATGTTGTGAGAGGAATATGGAAAGGGGTCATGGTTCCTGGTCTCACTTTCGGCAATGCGGTCTTGTCCA